ACCCTGTATAAAAGACAAATGATTAATTTATCTTTCATATAGAGTTTATACGAGATTCCAGGTACATTACAATTACATAAAGAAAGTATTCTTCTAATGTTTTTCAAATGCTACGACAATCAGACATTATAAACGTTAAAGTATTAAAATAGTGCGATTATATTGCAACTGACGGACTCGAGATACATCACATCCCGTTAAATGTGAAACTGACTTCGAATCATTTCGGATGTCATTCGAAGCCAAGACTTCTGAAAGTCTTGAACATTTCGAAAATCTCGAATGTATCAAAAGTCTCGTATATTCTGAAAATATATCTTTTCCCATGTAACGCTATACGTTATTGTTTCAAGCTACTTTCTGATTTACATTCTAAAAGAAACGATTTTAATAAGTATCTATAACAACAATTTTGTTTTTGTAAATTTCATCCATTTCTAAGAACAAATGTTTCAGATGTTTAGTTTTTAAGACTTTGAATTTTTCAAGACTTTCAAGAGTTCCCGAAATAATATAGAATAGTATATAGGAGCAATTTAGATCTCGTAACGGAAAGGCCTATCTATGACGGCCGTGGTGGATCTTGGCAAAATATTAGGCACAAAGATCCAGCATGTCTGTCATAGGCCTTTCTATTATGCGATTAAATATCGACGGTCGAATTCACATATTATTACATTTAGATCTCTTTATATGATCGAACTGTTTGGAAACTTTCAAGAGAAGGATACCCATCATTGGACACGATTACATTAAACTGCCATATTGCACAAGGTTGTTGAAATTACGTCTGCTCTCTTCTTCTAACATTACGACCTTATATACAATATTATCACAGAGACAAAGAGCTACGCGATTCCACAGTGACGTTGAAAACAAAAATATATTCTCGATTAATTAACATTTAGTTCAAAAGGAATAGTTTTTCCAGCGCCAATACCATCCTATCTCAATCTGGCTGAAGCACATGTTGAGAACGGACAGGCCGATGAAAAACAATGCGTGAAACAGGGTCCACAGCTGGAAGACCGGAGAAACGATGAGTAGAAGCACCGTTATCCCTGGAAAGAAAATTGACCTCCCGTTATCGTTTCCCGCGGATGAAACGGGGAGAAAGACCTTATTCACCTGTCAATATGCTCCAGAAGCCGAATGCGGCTCGTAACGGCAGGGTCTTCGCCATCGGCCAGATCTGGGTGGGGAACGCCTTCCGCTCGTAGAATCCCTTCAGTATCGCCTCCTTGTCGGACCACCTGTCCTCCAGCCACCTCCTCAAGGTCGAGTCGTCGTGCGCCGGTATATCCGCGGACGATATCCGCCTTATGTGGAAGTGCACCTCCCTCGGGAACCTACCTCTGATCAGATCGACCTCGGACTGCGGTATGTAGTCCGGATACGCTATCGTCAAATCGTACACAGCGTCGAGGAAACTCGCGCGCTGTAGATGCTGGACCAGGTAGGCGAAGCCGGTAGTTTTCGGATGGAGAGTGTAGGTGTGAAGCGGGAGATGATGCTGCACGGCATACTTGTCCGACTTCTCCTTGCTGCTCTCCGTCAGATCGGTGCCCTCGGGGAATATCAGCAGCTGCGTGCGGCTTTCTAAGGCGACCAGGTAATCGAGCGTACGCGACAATCGGCCCTGATCCTCTTCCCAGTGTCGCGTTATATAAAGGAAACCGTTCATCTGCATTATCCATCCTGTTACAGACGCACGTGTTAAAGACTTGCGCGGGCGAAGTTATACGTGCACACCTTGGTGTACAATCAACGCTTCGTATATCGAGTTTGGAACGTTACCTGGGCCGGGAATGTGCCGTATAGGATCCTTTAAAATCAACTTGAGCTTATGACACCCGACACTGGGCATGCACGCTTGATACATCGCCGCCCATAGGAAGTTCCAGTCCACCCTCGTTCTGTGGTTCATCACGAGCACGGCCGATTCATGAGGAGATATATGATCGCCAGACACGTAGATCTTCACGCCGAAGATCTTCAACAGAGCCTGAAACACATTTACAATCCCAGAGTAAAATTTAAGATTTTGCACATCGAAAGCGATACATTTAACAGGCACGATTACAGCTAGCAACGGTTCGAGTCTTTGTTTTGAAATCTACACTAGGAATCACTGATGCCTTCCCATATGAATTTAGGCACATGTAGAACACATATACATTTTTCTAGTGTGCGTAAAATAAGAAAAACGGAAACAAGTCTTTGAACAATTTTTCCTAAGAAGTACTTATTTGAGCGTCGACGATGTTCAAAATTCTTAAAAGAAATTGTTATCCAAGTCTACGTATAAAAAAAATTAAGAGAAAATATAGAAATAATAATGTTAAAATATAATACAAGAGAATAGACGTAATTTTTAAGTATTCGAGAGACCTTAACGGATAAAAAGTAGATATTCGTGAAATAATTTGGAAGTAATTCGGTGCGTGTCAGGAGCTTTGACTTAAATCGCGAACAATCTGTACAATAATCAAGATCTGCTGTACTCACAGTGGGGTACAGTTCCCAGCATGAGAATAGGAGATCTCCGCATTTTCGAAATCTCGGTGGACTGAGCAACAACAACGGCAAGAGCGGGCAGGCGATAAATAAAAAGCCTGCTACTATACTACCATACCACAGAGCACAGTACAAGGTACCACGTAAAATTCCGCGCATTACAGTCTGCGAGTGGGCGTCCTGAAAACAATGTAGAATAACACTTGGTGTGAGCGCAAAAATATAAATAGTACATATCGTGACTTTAAGTCACAAATTGTGCTCACGAGAGGCGAACACGGTTGGCTAATTATCAATTTTTACATATTTTTTGCTTTGATTTTTACGTATTTATAAATTTATCCGAAATTTTCGCGATAATATTAGAATACAAATAGGTTTCGCCCTCGTGCAGGCTAATAACGCGCGTTTAATGCGTAAAACGCATCAAGAGAAATTACTATTTACACAAGGCGTATTGGAAACTCGGAATATTCAGACGCGGGTCACTTTATTTTCGATGTAGATTAATCACGTGCAACGAGATGAGATTCGGCGATTAATCAACCGTGTCCTTCCTTCGTCCGAATATTCTCCTTCCGAGGACGATTGTGTTAACAACGACCTCGTAGAAACTCGCCGAAAACAATACTCAGCATCCGATGTGGGGAGTAAAGGTGCAAAAAAAAAAGAGAGAGAAATTTACTTTTATATTTTTGCGCTAAAACAAATTGAAATTACAGGCGAAAACGATGTCTCCGTGAAACTCACTTTCACATGTGCACCGTGCAATTGAAGCACCCTCCACGGACATCGGATCTTGACTGTTTCCTCATGAAACACTGTGTTTTCACTGGCTTCCTCCCGGTTCTATTAGAGGGGTTTCTCTCCGCCACCCCTTTCACCCTCGCTCTCTATCCAGCCTTCGCCACCGAGCTGGAGGATGCTGTGTCGGACCATTATTGATCTGCTCGAGCGCAGGGGCTGTACGATCTCAATGAAGAGATTGGAGGCTCCTATAACTGTTAATTAACTTGCGCATCTTTTACGACCGACGTACCTTTATTTCATTCGAACTTTTTAATATATTTATTTTCCACTTTGCTGAATATTGTATTGCGAAAAAATATTTATCACTAACTTAGATACGCAAAACGTATCATTTTTTTTTGTACATATGTGTTTCATTGTACATACATACCTGTAATAAATTATTCTAATATTATATTTATATATGATTGCAGGAGACGGTGAAAAGGGGGAGAAGAGATAGAAAGGACGGAGAGATGTGATCATTAATGAAAATTCGAAGCCACGAAATAACTACGCTCGACGGTGCTCATTGTGCTGTCATTTATTAGGAAACAGACAATAGAAAGGTAAAATCAACATAATAAATTTTGTAAGTCTATATAACTGACAGAATAAACCACGGTAGGCCCAAATATTTATACAGTAAAATGGCGATTCTAAAACGTATCTCGTCACAAAGATATTCCCTAATAAAACATCCCACGCCGCTGCGTATCTTTTTATTCCAAAGACAAGTAGCAGCCATTTCGTACAGTCTCATATAAAAGTTCGTCCGTGGTAAAATCGCGTACCTCCCCCACCTTATAATTAAAATTATTTATACGCTTTTCTTCCCTCGCCTCGCAATTCAGCTGCTCCTTACGCTCATCGCGCGATTAATGTATTTGCAAATACGTTTGTGGAATGGATACACAGATCTGTAAGATTTTAGGTTTGCGCTACTAATATCCCGAGTACTTGGCGAGAAGTTGACGCGCATCGTTCTGTACTCTCGCATCGTCTTCGCTCGTGACTGACATGTTGCAAATTTTCTCCAACCACTGACAGGCCGGTTCGTAGTTGCCCAGTGCTATGTAACACTTGCTTAGGAACAGCCTGTTCTCCAGATTTATTTTGACCGAGAAGTCCTCCGCTTTCTGGAAGCTATCAATCGCATCTTCGTACGAGGCACTTGGTGGCTCCGAAAATAACGTTGCAGCAATCTACACGAGAAACGATCAATTATAATGTAACACTACGAGTCCACCCCATTACGCTTTCTTTGAGTCGCGGATCCTTCGGATGATCTTAAATTCTAATCAGACTTACTTTCCCTCGGGTAAAAATGTTTCCATATTACATATCTCGTGGCCAAGATTAAAATTAAAATTCTATTATTAATATAATTTGCTTGAAATTGACTGGAAAAAGTATTTATTATGTTTCAGTTGAAAGCAGCGCACGGCTTTAATTGCAGCTTGCAGCCGGATTTTCGTCCACTGTTCCCCCCCTTGTTGCTCGCGTCTTGATAACGAACAATCGCGTGTAACTGTATGCTCCGGACTCTTAGGAGTCGTCTGATAAGATACACACCTTTCTCTCTATCCAGCTTAAGTTAGCCACCTCGTATCTGAATCTACCGAGTAGATGATGCAGGTCGGCATCATTCGGACGTATCTCCAAGGCTCTCATTACGTGCTCCTTGAAACGGTAACCGTTTTTTATCCTCTCCGCCGTCGGCAGAAAATCACCGTTTACGCCTACGAGTATAGCGCACCATTTGTGCAGATCTGCATTCGCTACGTCGAGAAGCTTTTCGCAGGCGTCAATTCCTGAAACGGCGGTACGTCGCGACTGAGTTAAGCTCGGGTTAAGCACGAGCGGCCGGCTATCGGGGTTACGCATAATTTCGATTATATACCTGCACAAATAACGGCTTTTCTTACATTTGCGTCGGTGGTGCAATTTGAATATTTGTAACAACTTCTGGCAAATCTCCAGACTACGTCTACACTATCTGGATACGTGTCTATGAGGCTTCGTAGCTGAAGGTAATCATCCTCTTCGCGCCCGCCCTGCTGGTGCTGCGCATCGAGAACGGCGAGGTCTAATCCAGGGCAGGTGGCTTCAGTTGTCCTGCATCACTAAGCGTATAATCTTTCCCGTTTAAGTTTCCGAGTTGTAATTCCGGACAAGTGCGAGGCAAAGACAAAATCAAGCTTTAGGCAATTCAGAAATGCGAACTCCTTTCGGGAGATACATGCGAACTAACTTGCGCGTGCGAGCGGAGGAATCTCTGACTCTAAGTGCAAAGTGGATTTAAATATGTGCAATTACGCTGCGCGCGACGTTAAATCGAATTTACAGCCGCGATAATCGCGAACGGTAGACGCGCAGGTATCAAACTGACCTGTTCTCGATGTCACTTATACCATTTTCGCTGTCGGAACAGTCGAAATATTCGTCGTCGCCCGCCGTCGAGAAATCCAAATCGGTATCATTGTCCGTTGTAACGTACGTGCTGTCGTTATCGCGTTTGGAGTTAACCTTCTTCTTCTTTCTCTGTTGATTTTGTTGTACTCTGAAAACGGAGAGATTGTCTAGCATTACGTCAAATTGGACAAAGACGGGTGTTGACAGAAAACATTCAGATTTTGGTTTCGTGACATAAATTTGCAGTCGCGTCCTCGTCGAACTACCGACTTGTAAAAGCTGAACGGCAGCAAAGTAGCGTAACGTGTGAATAAACCACTTCCGATCCAGGAACTGTGTCCTAGTTCCAAGAAATATGCAGCTTTCACAGAAAGGCTATAGGTCGATTGGCCACGCTCTCCTCAAGACTAGAAACTTGGACACGGTTCTTGGATCGTGGGCGCGGGGCCTAAACGCCCGATCGATCACGGCGACGGGTACAAACTGCAATTTGACCGAGCACTCGAGGAACGTCCCGTCTACCTCAATCTCTCCAGTTCCGCTTGCAGCTCGGTGAGGCGACGATCGACTTCGTCCAGGTGTTCGTTCTTCATGGCGTGCTGCTGCTTCTCCAGGACCTTCTGATAAATAAAGATACTGGCCGCGCTGATGACGCCGATGGTCGCCCCGATAGCGGCGGCGATCAGATTCGTCTGCAGCTGGCTCATCCTGCCCGAGGAGGGAGCGTAAGCTCCGAGCAGCTAGTAATCTAGAAGCACAGACCCGGAGTTACGTCTGGCGAACCTGAGAAAGTGCCGTTCCAAGCTCACCGTTGGCGCACGTACCGCTCGCGAGAGACGCGACCAGGACGGTGCGAATTCAGCGAACGTGACGGTCCGCGTCGCCCAAGCCACGGCGTACCATGTTCCGCTTGCACCTCGCCTGCCCGTGGTCCCGGCGTGTTCAGGTCGAGACCACGTCCGTCGACCGGTCACCCAGCGAGGTCGATCAACCCAACGACACGTATCGAGGGAACCGCCACCTCGGTCAACAGCCACACGTGCCACTTTTCCCCCGCGACAGCGGCAGGCGTGCACGTATACGCGCGTATCGCGCGGGCTGAAGGCCAACCGTGACAAACTGTTTTACAAGCGCGATACGCGATTCGTTACATCATTATCTCTTTCTCTCTCTTTCTCTCTCGTGCTTTTTTCCTCGCCTCCTTCCCGCCAGTGGCGGTACGAACCTCTACGTCCGCGCGATCGACCGCTTGACCCCGATCTCGGTTAAATCCTCGCTCGCTCGTAGCTGCTCGTAGCTCTCCGTCGTTCTCTCTTCTCTCCGCATGTCTCGCCGCCGCACGCGCGAGCCGATCCACCCGCGATCGGCGACTCCGGTTGACTCAGCAGCGAGGATTCAAGGCGCGAACGTCGTAGGCCGGCGCGGACGTCCGTGTCGCCGATATCGACAATTGCTGCAAGTCATTGCCGCCGGGGTATCGAGCGCGAACCGCGTCGATAAGTTACCGCTGATAACCCGCTCTCGCGCCCGCGTGCACATTTACCGCCCCCGGGTGTCAATTCCGAGGGTCAATTCTGTATCAATTGTAGAGCGAATTCGATTGCCTGCGCTAGCGAAATAATCCGCGTGAATGCTTTACGGATCGTTTTACCGGCTACGAAATATTTCAAGAGATACCCCTGATGGAAAAATTTTGCTGAAAACGTAATGAAATTTACTGAAATTTGCTTGAAAATCTCTTGCAATTGACCCAATTTCATTATCATTTCAGCAATTTCTCATTAAAAAATTTATTTTCAGTGAAATTCTGCAAATTTCGTAATATACAACATTTCTAAAATTTTTCACTAATTTTTAGTAATATTAATTAACTTTCATCTAATTTCACAGTATTTTATTGAATTTCATAACGAAACTTATGATTTATTTTGAAATGGTTTCAACAAGTTTCCAATAAACTTTCATTTCACTTTTCATCAATTTCATTACATTTTCAGCAAAATTTTTCCATCAGGGTATTCAAGGCGATCCTTAAATACATATAAGAATTGACTGCGAACAAAAGCCTTAGTGTGCACTCGGTGCGCACTAGTGCAAGCAACCGAATTCGCTGTTACGCTACAGTGAAGATGCTAAAAGCGAAGAGCTTCGTCTCTTTCCAGCCGCCTGTAGCACTTTCACTACATCGCAAGATACAGAATTGACTCCCTGGCGATCGAGCGATCGCTCGGGACGGATGGGGACGCGAAGCTGGACTTAAATTTGACCGAACGTCCGAAGACTCGGAACTGTGGCCGCACTCGTACGGATTTGGCGAGGAACCAAGAGCTCTTGTTACTGTACTCATTATTTAAATTGTATTAATTTAAGACACGCGAGATACACGTGATTTAATGTAAGATACATTGTACGTGAGATTGGAAATTTAACTCGAGATGATTCCCTTGCAGAAGATACCCCAGAGGTTTTGTGAATTTATATTTCTTTCAGGATTTTTTCCTTACACGACAGAATTAATTACAAGATATAATGGCAGTCACAACAACGGAAGAAAAAACAAAAAGTGTGTCTATCAAACACAATCGGAGAGGGAGGTACGTTACTGTATATATAGTCTTGTGTTTTATCGTACAGCATCTTCTTCTCGTGTATATTTGCAAATAAGAACTTAGGCATTTTCAGAGAACGCTCTGTATAGAAGCAGTTATAAAATTCAACGTGCATAGAAAATACGAGGATCCGACCGATCGAAGGGAAACTGCACGCGGACAAGATTCCTTCGAATTCAGTCAAGCGTACAAGCACTCGTGTGGCAGGAACGAACCCTCTCGCAACTGTCTCCTCCGCGCTATAGCAAAGCCGATTCCTTTTTACACTTTTTATACATTGTCTAGCTATTAACATCTTTAAATCCCGATTCATTCGCGTCGCAGATTCTCGAGCCTGGCCTGTAGATCCGCGTCGGCGTCCGCGAGATTACCCCCGTCCTCGTTACCCGCCGCGGCGGCCACCGGCTGCTTGGAGCCGGCCACGCTCAGCGACCCGGACGCCTGCGGCAGCCCGGAGAGTTGATCCGTCAGCTGTAGACCCAGCTCGTCCAACACCTGCGAGACCACGGCGTCACTGCGGGAAAACGAAATGTCAGCATACGCAGAGGATGCACGTGTTACAACCGGAGTTCGGGTAAGTTACCTATTTTTTCAACCAAGCTAAAGTTAGCAGCCTTGAAAATTTAACTTCGTTAAGATACAAATTAACCCACAATGAAATTAATGTAATCAAGAGTTTAGTTAATACGCGAGGAAATTACAAAGTTAAAAGTTAAATTTGTTTTCACACAAGACCTTAGAGACTCGCGATCACGTAAATTACTTTGAATTTCACGTCCAGCTTAGTAAGGTAACTTTTATCTTTTTAAGTAGACACTAGCCATCCTGATTATAACGTCTTATCTACAATTTCAGAGAGTTGGTAATTATACGGCGATTTACACATGCAATGTAATTACTTATTAGTCCTTTTCTAGATATTTTCTTTTTGGGAGCCTTCACGACACTTTGGAATAGTAATTACTCGTGTATATTTGTGTAAAGAGCGTTGGATACCTTTCTTCCTCGTCTCCCTCGTCCTCCATCGCGTCGTCTATCGCGTCGTTCATGATTTCCTCCTTCATGTCCATTATCTCCGACTGCTTTTCGAACTCTTGCAATATCTTCTGTATTTGTGGTAAATTTAATTGTCTGTAAATAGAAATGAAAAATATAATCGATTACAATATACTTAGGCAAACGGCACACGATCCAGCAGGCGCAATAGTATCGTGCGCCGTTGACTTTATGAGATTCAAACAAGCGCAAGCAGATTATGCGAGCTAGTGGGGCAAGTTGACGCGCTGGTGAATCGCGTCGCGCTCACTTGTTCATGTTCTGCATCGCTTTGGTCACCCCCTTCATGGCCTGCGCCATCGTGTTCTGGGAACGTAAGGTTTGTATCTTCAGCGACACCGCTTGAATGTTTGCCTTCATCAGCATGAACTTCTTGACGTAACGCCTCGTCCTGACCAGATCTTTGGCCATAATTTTCACAGCGTCCTACAATCCACGATCATGAAGTAAGGTCGAAATGAAGACGCGATTGGACGAAAGTAGGCGGATTACCATTTGCCCGTCCTTGGCCATTTTCTTTATGTCGGCGATGATTTTCTTCTCCTGCTGCTCCATCCTCACTTTCTCCCGGTCCAAGTCCCGCATCGCCTTGTTCAACGCTCTCTGGTTCTTCCTGAGCATCTCCTCAGGGGTGATGCGCTTGCCGAACAACCACTCCATGGCGCTGAAAGGCCAACGGCAACATCGTTCATCAAACAACGCAAAAATACAAACCGAGGAGTAACTGGCTAGAATCGTGTACATAAATGCCTACTAATGCATTGAAATTCGACAATGGTGCCCAGTAGGCATTGCTTGATCTTTTTAAATTCTTTGTAACACACCAGCAATATCAAATAACACCCACTGACGTCCAAAAAATGCCTAGTAATGTCCAGCAATGCCGCAAATCTGTACACCACAATGCCCTCAGCTGTTTATCCCTCGTTGCAGACTCGCAAACAAAATCAATAACACAAGGTACACATGTATACGTTTTACGTTTGTCAGTTGCTTCCAACATTCTGACTTTTACCGCCTATTCTTTTTCCCTACGTTTCTTAATTTTACACACACACATATGTATACGAATACAAAACGTGAAGCTCGAGGAGTACGCACCTTGTTTTACACTATCGGGTCGCAATCAACGCTCGTCGCGGTTACAAACGTTTCGCCGTGCGGATTAATCGCACTACGCTATTCCCATAACATCGATCAAATCGCGTACGAATCAGCCGCTCTCAGAACCTGGAGAAAAATACCGCACCGAGGAACTTTTCCAGGCTGACGACGGTCGAGTTTTCCGCGTCGAACCCTTCGCCGGGTATATATCTCGCACTCCCTCGGGTCTCGGCGCGAGGAGGACAACCTCGTCGCCTCGGGCCGATATCTCTGATGTTTATCACCTGCTATTTAGACAGTGTGACGCATAAACACCAGAGCCACGGAACCTGCAACTTGACCAGATATCCCGTTGATTTCTCGCTCCGGCTGTCTCGCGAAGCTCCCGTGGACCTCAGGCGGGACCGAGGATGACATCACGAGCGGTGCCCGGCCGCTTTTTTGACAGATCGCGTACACAGCGACCAATGGTGACGGGCTACGAGGTAACTGGATTGGACATTGTCGGAGGTTAAAGCCTCCGCTACAATGATTCTCGGTTCTGTCTACAATGGTCGTAGTCGTAAGAATAATCGACTGCGATTGGTCAATTCTTATCGAGCGACTACGACTACGACCATTGTAGACAGAACCGAGAATCATTGTAGCGGAGGCTTAAGTCTCATCTTTTTCTAATTTTTAAAAATTAGAAAAAGCTGAAATAAAAGTTAAACCGAGATTAAAGTTATTATATTGATAGAAATGAACACGAGTGGTCTTTCAATGCGATCTCAATCTGGGGCGCGCCATATTACGCACGAATTCGAACCGCGAGATTCAATTGCGTGGTGAACGTGTGGTTAAAAAATTTAAATTAAAGAGCAATTACGGGGCTTGTAATAGTGCGATTGCAAGCGTTTTATAAAGTATATTACACAAAATATATTACTGAACCATGAATTTGAATTAATATTTAAAATAAATGTATAATTACGAACATTTTGTTAACTATATGTATTGAAAATTTTAAACTATATTCACAGAACGTACACGCCATGGAAACAGAAAGAGGGGTGAAAAATGGTAGTAAATACGTAACGCGAATTTCAATAATCTGTAGTCGTTCAAATTAACTAAATAATGCCATTATTAATTTGACGATATGCACGAGACGGCGCACAATGTTGAAAATACTCTATTGCGTTTGATAAGAAAGGAGGGACAGATCGATTTCAATAATTTTCCATGTCGGAAGATACGCAAAGCACAAAAAAGGTTTATAATATATACATATGTTTGTATATATATATGTGAAGGGATTGTCCCATTTTAAAAAGCAAACCTAAGCAACTTGGAAAAGTTTTAGCAAAGAAGTTTCATTACACTCCACGTAGAAGCATATGATGTTTCTCACACGATACGACTCCTGCAACGATTTTTCCAGAGTTATCTAGGTGTGACTTGTAAAATAGGACACCCTGTATATATTGACAAACAGTAAATTTATTAGATATATCTCGTAAATATATAAAACTTGCATATATAACTTGCACCTTGTGAAAAAGCACGGTATATATGTAGATGATTTTATTTACGTAAATAAACCGACGTTCCGGAGAAAGAAGAATCAGGTTTCCATGAAAACATTTTCGCTACTACGAGTTAGCTTTAATTGCTCTCTTCCTCTTTATTTTACAAGTTATCTCGCTCAATCCCACGCTTTCACTCGAAGCTCCGGTTCGAGGATCGACCAATTCGGCGAATGTTTCTCACTAGACAGCCAATTGAAGTCGTCGATGCAGTTCCAATTGTTAATCTTTGGATCGAGGCCGGCTAGATTAAAGTGACTCGTCTGATCCTCGTAAGACCAGTTGTAAGGTGCTACGTGTATCTTGGTGCAATCCTCTATGATCGCCCTACTCGTGACGTGTAAATAAATGGTACAGTCCGTTGACGAGTGTAATCGCAGCTGCTGGCACGCGAAAGCGAATACACAGTCACTGCAGTCGTGCACGAAAACGGAGGACGTCACCGGCCCGACTAATACAGTGCACTGCTTTAGGTTCACCATGTGCAGGGTGCTCGGCGTACCGTATATCCGTATGGTACAGCGAACCAAGTCGGAGAGTAGGATGTCGTTCTTATTCACATTCTCCGCGTCCAGCACCAGTCGCTCGTTCACCTTGCCCAGCAGCATGCAGGCGCTGTCCCCGTACTTGCTTGACAACTTATTGTTCTGCTTGCCGGAGCCGTTCACAATGCTCTCGGATATCTTGAGGTCCTTGAAACCGTCCGTGATGTCGTGCCCCTTGTCGGTGGGTTTCTTAACGATTCTACGATTCTTGAAACCGAACTTCTTCTTAGGCAGGAGCTTCAGCTCCAATTCGGAAGCCTGGTTCTCCAACGACTGTAGGTTCTCTTGCGCGCGCCTTATATCGTAAACCTTTAAAAACATTTTCGATTGCGACAAATAGTTCTTAAGCAGCTGGATCTCCTTGTTGGACTTCTCGAAGATCCCCGGCAGCGCCGAGGACGGGCTGCTAGGCGCGTCGTCCAGCATCTCCTTGATCTTCTTGCAGGAGGAGTGAAACGTGTCCTTGAAGTAGCCGCTTTGCTCGGACTCCACGGCGAGCGACTGCCGCTCCTCCCTCCGCCTCTCGATAACATTCTTCCGCTGCCGGTCCCTCTTCGTGAGACGATCCGACAAACTCTCCTCTATAAGCTCCGCGGGGTCCATTTTACCACACAAATGCTATTTCTGAATGCTGCTTATGTCGTCCTTGAAACTAACGCTCGGCTTTTCTGCATTCGTAGATCCTGCCCTGTACGGCCGTCTGAAAATACTCTGTGGCTCTGACGAATACGGCGGGAGATGCTGAAACAATTTCATCGCAAATGAAAGAGAGACTTAAACGTACGCCATGCATGACGGCCGCGAGAGAAGCTCAACAAAAGAAAGTATTACACAAGAAGACCATCGCTAAAGTCACGGTGTCTATCAGCGACTTGGCGATTACATAATTACCTTTCTAAGCTCCGACTCGTCGGCCGCAGCGAATTTGAACAAAGCGTATCCTATTCCACCGCCGAGGACTGTCGACGCCACAAGAAGCCTCAGGAACGCCATGAAGATTTAATGCTCATCGCGCTCCACCATCCAGGTCTTGTAATCAAACGTCCTCTGGTCGGTGTTGCCAGACAGCTGCTCCCCGATGCGGTAGTAGCCCTCCAATATGATCGGGAAACGTCGGTGCACGCGATACCTGAAATCTAACAGGCGCGGGACGTACTGAAACCGATCTGCCGACTTGATCGAGCCGAGAGACGGGCGACTCGGCGCCCTCGGCGGGGAAGGTGAGTCTACCCCTCGCGGCTCTTCTCGAGTGCGAATTCGCAGCCGAGGGATCCCCGGCGACCCGTCGCGTTTCCACGCCAGACGCAAAATTTGATGGTCTTTTTCAGCTGTACCCTCCGCGCCGTCCGTGCCGTCCTCGGTCCCATCCAGTCTCTTCTCGAGTGTGGACTCTCGACGGGGCGGATTGAATTACTCGTGGACGCGGGACGAGGTAACGTGACTCCGGGGCGGAGCGGCACTTCGGAGGGAACGGCTGGTCCTAACTAGGCTAAGCGGGATACGTGAGCGACTCATCACCTTGCGAAGTGTTGAGGCAACGCCAGAATCCGTACGAGCCGAGCAGCAGCGTGACCTCGAACAGTATGATCGCCTTGGCACTGGTCTTGACGATTCGCGCGACGCCCCAGCTCGGTCGCTTCGCGAGCATGCTAAGGTGAGACGGCAGGATTTCCTAAAATGGAAATCATCAATACTGCGGGATACGGAACTCGTAACGAAACATCGCGCAACACCGCCGACGTCGTGCGCGGCGCGAAGGGAGGGACGGCGTGAAGAGGGCGCTGCACGGCGAAGAATCCGGGGTGAGGCTCGAGAGAGAGCGAGAGAGAGAGATCGAGAGACGCTGCTCCGGTTACCCGTCGAGTAGAGGCTGATACGTCAGTTATCGCTTTTGCCGGCCGTAGGCGAATTACCGGGACCGGATGGTAATCTTGAGCTTGGTGAAACATCCGCACGGATTGTTTGCGTACTTACGGTTTATGCGAGTCTTTTTCACGTGGACGATGTGTTGTAAATTAGGCAACTATTATAAATATATCGATTGATTTACAGCACGAACATTCGAAGAATGAATGCTGAAGATAAAAAGAAAAGTTGAAGTTTCCTCGTATGATAAGCCCTGTTTGGTTCTAACGCGAGCTGCCTCCTCCCCACAGAGGAGATAAAGAAGCAGCAAACGTTACAAACAACACATTACTTTGCTTTGACAAATACTCTCACGCCCATCGCGAGGGATCGGCCGAAGCTTCCTCTCCCTGCAGCTCGCGAAGACGACGGAGGACAATAGCTTCAAAGCTACGGCACTCTCTGCCACGGGTCCAGGGACTTTCCTCAGAGCAATAAAGAGTCATTTGGAGACTCCGTTGGTGGCTCCGCGGTGTTTCCCGAGGGAACCTCGCGGACGCTCCGTCAAGAGGTTGCATATATAGAAAAGTGCGGCTCGGCAAGCGCTATCGAGCAAGGCGAAAAACGAAGTAAAGTGCACATTTTATCTATTAATAACAACAAACAATGCTGAAGTTCGTTTGCAGGATACTTCGCTTAAAATAATGCCAGTTGTTTTAACACGCTGCAATGTATATTTAAATATATACGTAAAAAAACGGGGTATTTTTTTAGAAATTTATACTATCATACTTTATACTTTTCTCAAGCTAAAATAACGTACGTAATCCGAGGATATTACTTTTGCAGAATCAGAGGCTCTCGAATAGAACCGGAAAGGCAGCGACCCAGGGTGTAACGCGAGAAGAGAATTCGCATTGATATTTCGCTTCCCCGATATCGTATTTCAATATGGCCGTAGCGACGAATGTTCAATAGAATGGTTGTAGACGTGATTAAAGAAACCGGTTCTGTGTCGCGTCAGCCGTACGGAAAATCAATATCCCGGGAAGGATCAATAGAGATCTCTTTCTGTTCCTCGGGCAGCGCGAGCTGTCGATCTCCGCAAAACGGAGAGATTGAAGGCGAGCAGCCATTTTTGGTAACTCTAACTCAACTTCGTTACTTTCTCTCCATCTGTAACTGTGACTCAACTCAGTTACATCTTTTCGATAACTAGTAACTAATTTAACAGTTACATTAATAGTTACTTTATATATATTTTTTAAACCTCCGCAGATCGCATTAGGTCTTGCACTTGCGCATAAACGCTTTCATCAGACACTTTACAATTAAAACGCAGATTTGATTTTCTCATTTTCATTGCAGGGAAGTAACTGCGAAGTAACGATTCCCGTCTTGAGTTCAGCGTACGTGGGATTTGCAAAGCTGCGGGCTGTATTTTTTACACCCCACGCGAGTGACGACGTTAATTGAAATCTGCCACGAGCCACCCCTCGGCACCAACGACGCCGGCGCGCATGTCGCGCCGTCAGAGCGCAGAATCGCTCGGAGGTCGTGGACGTCGGCTGCTGGACGGACGGGGACGTTGGGTAGGTCGGCCAGCGGGGGAACGATATCGCATCGCTAAATATAATACGAGGCACGCGGTTCTACTAACCGTCCGCCGCGGCACGCGAGGCGGCATGACGACGGTGGCGGCGGTAGTCGCCGTTTGAGACCGTCGACGCTCGCACGACGTCGACCCTCCGTCGCCTTGGTCGACGACGAGGAAGCCTGCCGAGTACCACCGCGTCCACGACGGCCGGCCGTGGTAAACGGAGTGCCGGGCCTCTCCCAGGCGGGTGCCGTCCGCGAATGGTGGGACTCTCCGAGTGCCGCGGGGTGATTTGCGATATTTCGGACGCGAAGCGCCTCTTGGACCGGAAACCCGATCGATCGTCGCCGAAAGCCGTAGGTGAGAGTCTCCGGGTAATCGCGCGCGCGCGCGTGTGAGCGCGAAAAGCAATCAAAAGTTACATCGCGGGACTGTAAACAGATACCTTGCGTCCTCGATAAAACTCATCGTCAGTCTTCGAAGAGTTAAATTTAAGACCTGCGGAAATTGGTTCCCGGGTTAATATTTAATAATTGGTAAACGTTTCTCACGGCTTTATTCAGACACAGCTTGTGAGTATTTAACGAATACAAAATATCAGTATTTATTTAGGCGATTAAAAGTTAAAAGGTGCTGGGAGAATAAGATGCGTTGAATGAATCAATTTAGTCGGAGGATTATTTCTTCTTTATTTACTTTCTTTATTTATTTTTCATATTTTTTTTCCATTTCCTGTAGTGCAAATTTTGTTCTACTATTAGCTGCACCTACAGTATTTCTGCAGAGTTTCTTAAATGACCAAAAAAAAACAACGAAAAGATACTCATCGAGCTTAAAGATAGCCACCGCGATTCCGTTTGTAACTGCGACGTATTTCAAGGCAATGTAAATTTCACGATTGTTCGCCGTTGACTCAAAGTCGTTTGCTCGTGTCGTGTTGTGTCTCGGTTTTCAATGCCAACCTCATGGCTGCGATTGTATATGTCGCTTATTATCGTTTCGTAGAGTGGAGCCGACCCGCAGAGCAGAGGAGATCTTGAATGCTTAGTTAGCGGCAGTTCCCCCGAGAGGCATACGCAATCCTTACAAAAGAAAAGAAAACGGAAGGTATCAAGATTTTTTTAATTTACCAAACGATTCAGAATTATTTTTATGCAATAATTAACGTACGCTATAAGAATCGCCGATGCCTTCCCACGTGAATTTGTGCACATATCAACACACTGATACATTTTTCATGCACGCGGAAAATGTATATGTGTCTACCTGTGCCTAAATTCATACAGGAAGGCATCAGTGATTCCTACACGGAGAGAATTTTCAGAGAAAATTCGGACATAACAATTTTCCGAGAAATTTAAGAGAAAATTTTCTCCGCGTAGTGTACAGTGATTAAAATCGTTACGTAAAATACAGCGAGCAAGAGAACTAAAGGTACAAAATATTTTCGCAATAAATCTAGAATAAAACATTTGGACACTAACACCCTGTCGCGGCCCTTAGTCCTTTGTTCCTTCGAACTTGTGTTTATCACATTGGAGCCATACGAATTTTATTAACTTGCATGTAAATTAATTTGGATATAAAAATAGACTTAAAAGGAGATTAAATGTTTAGAGAGACTGTTGATATTGCGATATTACGATAGAAATTGATTTAGAATTAAAGATAGACGTGAAAAGAGATTAAATGTTTAGAGAGACCGTTGATGTTACGAACACCATGATGCGACAGCCGGCTTCTACGATTATTGATCGGCGAACACCGCAAAGCACTGTGCTCGGGTGGTAATATCCTGCGCGAAGCGATAGATACGCAATAACGAGAAATATATCCCGATATACACCCACCTGCCCTTCCTGTGCATTCTTCTCATACGCCGATATCCAGCCGGACAGTACATAAAGAAAAAGTGAGGCTTTCAAAAAGCACTTTGTAGAGAGAGAAGAAATACAAATGTACTCGTGACGCGCAGAGTAAAATAGGACATTTTTGTCTACCATTGTGAAATTAATTTAAACTTCATTTTGGAGAGACGCTTGTTATATGTATGTTCAGAATAACATAACATTGTTTTTCGTTGAATAAGTTGTTGAGCTCCGAGTGTCCACGAGACTCGCGGAAGTTCCGTTTCAGAAAGAAAATATTTACGCGTGCCATATCTGTGTATGCCTGATAGCGATGAGTATCCAGAAGCCAGAGGATCTCTTGTCGGTTGTTATATCAAGCGAACTTCCACCGTCACCGAACTCCCGACAGCTGTTCATAAATCAAGATCAACAGGTGCGTACTTCGCCGCAATTCAATCTGTTCGTGTCTGCCAGAAATCACAGACCTTTTCAGTTGCGACAAATCTCTTTGGCAAAATTAGCAATCTTTCTTTTAACGAAAGTTCCGTCGAGCCTGCGTTCAATCCCACCCGCCGTTATCCAAAATCCAAGTCTCACAGTTTTTCGGAAGCGACGATACAGCACAATATTCCGCAATCGCAGAAAAGCAAAAGAAATGGCACTTTACACGCGACCCGTTCTGAGAATGTTGTCTCATACAAGACGTTTAATAGGATGAAGAAGCGTCCGATTGTCCCCTATTAACACCAAGCCCACCGCCTATCCAAACCGACGAGACTCTCCAGTCGACGCCGGTATTCAATGCACTGGAAGGAGCTCCACTAGAGATGATATCCACGTCGACGCTCGAGAATATTAATACGGAGGACGGGTTTAACTTCATGAATATAGTGAACAGTTCGAGCAAACCTTTAAACGATGGTACGTATATTCCCACCTGTTCTTATACACAATGCAGCACACAATTAAGCGTGCACTTTCAATACCTTGCCTTCAGTAGCACATTGTCACGATTTGTTCTGCTCGTTTTCTCTTTCTTTTTATTATTGGAGCACGCAGTTTGGTGTTCAATTTATGCTAAAATACAACTTTGTGGCAATATAATTACGTATTGAATATACGGTCGAAGGAGAAAGAGTGGCGAAGAAAATTTAGCGATCTGTTTGGACGGAGTTTGCTTTTCTCTGAATGTTCGTTAAGTGGCGGCAACGTTCTTGAGCTGAAGAGCTTATGTAACCTGCTGCTGCTATAACGTCGACGCTCGTCAAGCGCTTTTGCCTCTTTGATAGGATCCAGTTTCAATTTAAGCGACGCTCCATTCAGACGTTCCTACGCGCAAAAATGATATTTAATCTCTCCGTGTTTATGGTCGAAATCGTCCAAATGAAGAGCACGGACAACATTCCAATTTTGGATAAAATTATTTCAGATCTTTTAACTTTAATGTTTATTTATTGGGTGTCTATTAAAAGTTCAGATGCATGATTATTTAGACGCAAGTTTAATCATACAATTTAGTCCGAATCTAATGGTCTTGATTAAAAAATTTTTATTTTTGCAATGTAACGAATAAACTTACCTCAAACGAATAGCAGTTCTATAATTAATTTCGTGCGTCATGTTTCAGAACCGAGTTCACGCGATCCCATGGTGGAGTCCACCAGCAGCGGTAGCAGCAGTGACACAAACGAACCCGTTTGCGCACAACTGTTGACACAATTGAATACTGCATATCAACATCTCGCGCCAGACGCTCAAGCTCTAGTGAGTATCGCAAATGGGATCCTCCCGTGATCCTTCCGGATTTTTCAGACCATACAAAACATATAAAACAAAACGACACGAAGGCAACTTAAAAATAGCACATTGATTCGAATACGTAATTATTTAAAACGAAATTCTTTTAAGTAATGGAAAAACCTCGAGAGTATAGTGAAATCTCTTCGAAACGCCCGCTCAACATTCTTATTTACGTGTATAAAATCGAGAGTCAAAGCACTGGAGACTTTTGAGATGTACTTACGATCACTTTCTAGGAATCTTTTAGTCCTTAAGTATTAGAAACAACTCGAACATTTTTTTCGTATATTCCAATTAAGTGATTCAATGCATCTTGTGCCCATCACTATTTGTATGTACATGCATATGTGCCTATTGTGCTTAAATGTATCGTGTGTCTATCATTACAAGATTCACAAATTCATCCCCGAAGATACAACCCTTTATATTGTTATGAAGTATGACAAAACAGTCAGGTTTAATATGACATTATGTGTGCATGGATCCAGTCGTAACCAGCCCAGATATGCATGAAATAAATATTACAAATCAAACGCATGCTAATTCATAGTTTTCGGACGGCTCGATATCGGACGGTTAAGATATTCATCTACCAAACTCCACAGATTAGTGATGCATTTAATTTTCACTGTAGCCTGCATATCTGGGCCAGTTAATAATCCATGGGTCTCATGTTGACTAATCCATCGCTTGCCGCTTTCTAACAATCATCATACATATTTATGCCTGTAACTGTTTAGTTTTACAACCAGGAGAACGGTGGCAAGCCACCGCTCGTTGGGATTCAACTGGTGGTGCCGAAGCCGCCGAAAGATTATCGCTTTATGAAGTGGAACTGGCCCCTGATACGGAAGACATGCTACTGGTCATTGATGTCGATCTTGACCGGATGCGCCGCTCTCGTTATCGGCATTATCGCCACAATGCCTACGAAGTATGTGCACACACATTATGCATATGTACACATACGAGTAAGCTTGAGAACGATAAAGATCGAAGATACCGATTGCGATTCTCGGATCAAGGGAGATCCCGATAATCTCTATATGAAAACGTGGTCCCGTTAAATTGAGAGATAACGAAGATAGTATTTTTTCTGACAATCGCGAGTGTTTTGCGCTAGTCATAATTTGTTTATCGTACAATAAAAATCGTAACTTCAATTTTTCTTTCCTAGAAGCCACGAGTAAAATAATATTTTACATAATTCAAATTTATCACATGTAATATGTGCAATAATGAATGCATAATATATATCACGTAATGTGTATAAAAATAGGAAAATGAGCATTTTATCAAAAGATTATACAGTGAATAGTGTTCTGCTAATTGCAAGTAGTTAATTTGTTAAACAAATTATGTGTGATTTCACGTAAATTATTCGCACGTTAGATGCGACCCGCCGGTGGAGTGGTGGCAAGGCAGCACCTTCTACGAAATATTCCCGGCATCCTTCCAGGACTCGACGAAGGGTGCCGACGGGATCGGCGATCTACGAGGAATAATTATGCGGCTGGACTATTTGAAAAATCTCGGAGTACGGGCCGTCCGATTGAATTCGATATTCCCGGCTCCGCATTACCCGGAGTATTACTCGGACATTAGCAACATGACGGGGGTGAACAAGGAGTTGGGCACGTTGGACGACTTCGCCGTTCTCGTGCGCGAGATCCACAGGCGAAACATGAGCCTAGTCCTCGATTTGCCGCTGTACCCGTTCGTGAAGCGCTCGATTGAAGCGAAGACAAATGAGACCGAACGTGCGCTGCGGGAGAGACGTGATCTCGCGAGCAACGCGATAATTCAGGACGCACTGCCGTCCGCGCCGGCCGCGTCGGTCGAAGTTATCCGCGAGGTCCTGTCGTCACCGCTGCAAAAGAGGGAAACGCTTCCATCGAGTGAACAGGACCACCCGGTCAGCGAGGCCGTCAGGATCTGGCAGGAGCGAGGAGTGGACGGCTTCTATCTGAAGGGACTAGAGCATTACGTCGAGGAGGACACATTCGTGAGCAATCTCAGATATTGGAGGTCTCTTCTACGTCCGGGCAGCATCTTCATCTGTCACGTGGCCGCCCTGGACGCCGCTACCTCCGCTGCCGCGAGGAACTCCATCCTGTCCAGGATAGATTTGATCGACGTGACCCTTCGTCTGGCGAACGGCACGAGGAACATTAAGGCACAGATCGAGAGCATCACGAAGGGTGTGCTCTTCGACAAGTCCGCCTACCCGTGGATCCATTGGTCCGTAGGCGGCGTGGACACCAACAGAGTGGCCTCCACGGTGACCGTCAAGAACGCCAGCATGGCGGCTTCTCTTCTCGGCATGATGCTACCCGGGACACCGAGTATATTCTACGGAGATGAGGTATGAACTACGTCGTGGCCGGGACCCACGAAGATAGCTTGCGTCCTCGTGATTCGCTTGTTTAAAAAGTATGCAATTATCATTTCTTATTTGTGCGTTTTAGCCATCGTAATTTGAAGTCTTGACGCCGATTTGTTTTAATAAATAGATAACTCTTTTTCTCGAGATAATTGAGAAAGCAATTCGGCGCGAGAAAGAGTTGTTTGTTTATTGGATTTTCATTTGCTCAGATAGGTATCGAGGATTGTGAATGTCGGGATCACATGGATTTGGTACACGTGCACAATTTGGTTCCTATGTACTGGGAGAAGGAAGATGGCTCCGGTAGCAGTTTTTCGCCTTCAGGAGTTACCGCTTGGTTACCAGAGGCTGGAAAACCTTTGGAAACCAGTTTAAAAAGCACCGTTACAAAAATGGCGAGGCTACGGATGGAAGCGACACCGGTTTACGTCAAAGCCGTGTTAAGGGAGAGCCAAATTACTGCGAATTGTGACGTTAGGTAACATCTTTTCGATTCGTACGAGTTTTCTTGCAACTTTCCTTGAGATAATAAAACTAAACGTTTACAGTGACCTAATTCAGCCTTTCAAAAACTCGAGAAATTATTATTTCTTTATTTTGTAACTATGATATATTTTTGTCTTATTGAATGAATTAAGTTATAAATGTTGGATAAATCGCCTTGTTGCGGCAACGTTGCAACAACTTTGTGAAATGTAACGAAAGGCAATAATTTGATTTAATATTATTCTGTTTAGGTATGTGGAAGATGAAATGATTGTGATTGAGCGATGGTATCCACGAAGAAATTCCTATGTGTTCGTGGCCAATTTTGGCAATGAGACGCGTGTAAAGGATTTGTCATTCCTTTATTACGGTGGTCACGTTGTTGTTGGACCAAGAAACAGAATGAATCGAAATGTGTACTTCAAAGAACTTACCGTCCCCCCCGGAGAAGCATTTGTTATAAAATTAGATAAGTGAGAGACAGTTTCTTTTGCTTAAGCCTCATATAGATTTTTATCACTGGATTATATTTTTTAACTTTCACTTTTGTCGTATAAAACAATCGCTACTGTCATTTAAGACAATTAAAAGTAAGTATGAATATCTTACAACGAAATACAATTTTATACAATTTTACTTTTCAAAATTTCAGAGATAAAAAGTTTTTAAATTATAAATTATCGAAGGTATAAAATTTTTCATGTATTTATATTTTAGCAATGAAATTAATTAGAGATTAGTTTATCATTTTTATTTTTTGATTAATTGAGAGTGACTGAGTGAGTGAGTGAGTGAGTGACATAGAGAGAGAGAGAGAGAGAGAGAGAGAAGGGATACAGAAGAAGAAGAACGTAAAAAATTAAAGAATCAAAACGATGGCGTCCAATAAATTTTTCGATTAATACAAATAACATATGTATGTATCTCACAGCATTAAAAAGTATTAGTATTTATAACTTATATCATACAAAAGATCGGATCCTCACAACGAATTTCAATGCATATCGATCACATTATATCGATAAAGCCTATCTAACGCGGTTGTATTTGGATTGCGATTTTACAGCAGGCAACAACTATTGCCATATTTTGGCCCCCACTGCAGAGGCAAAAGACTTCATACTTTTATTTTATACTTGATAACAGAATCAAAATTGTTTGTGTACCGTAATGCATTGTAATAACAGAATTCATCTTTATTGCGCCAGTCAGATTATGATGTGTAAAATCTCTTCATAATGTGTAAAAATATTAACCCCACAAATATTTTCTACAATACAATAATTATAATAATCGTTTTGGCTACTTATATTATACAATGTTGTTTAATTACATTTGTCGTTGGCATCGAATCGTACAATTATATACGATTTTTTGGACAATTATTAATTATATATATATATTAGGAATAAAAATGTATTGTATGTATTATTGACTGTGTGAATGCAAGGAATTTATGTTAATGAAATTACCTCTATGTATTTACACAGACCAATAAAAAAGTTCTAACTACATTTGCTAATATATCTATTGTATAATAAGATTTTTGTGTAATAAATAACGAATAACAAGCGCCAAATTAATAATGTAATAACATTTATTTACTTGAAGAGAATCAATTTAAAATGTTTTCGATTCAATTTTGTTTTATTTCTTTGTATGTGTGAAATTTTATTGTGATTTATTCTAGGACCAATAGGAGTACTTGAATATTTATAAGATATCAAATTATCTTTTGGTACATAATTGTATTAGAAATTGTGATTATCTGGACGGCGATCTATCCTTTTTATAGAAACTCTGCAAAAAAATTACAATAACTTTTTAATAATAAAATTTGTAAGAATAATTAAAGAATAGCTATAAAAAATAGTCACTCCAAAATAAAATAAAAATTTCTATCTCGATACTCAATTATTTCATTACGATTATGAATTACGATTATTATATAATTCTTTATTGTAATTCTGTCGTTTAGTTGGGTACATTGCTTACTTTTGCGGCTATGTCAGTAAGATGCTCGGCCATCGAAGTACCAGTTTGCTGTACCATATTATAAAAACGTCCTTTCCTTTGCAGGAGGAGATACGGACGGTCGGATTCCTAAAATCAGTGTCTCATTTTGTAAATTACTTTTACAGGGAAAGGATTAATCGCCGACTTGTACTTACCACAAGGTGCCCAGCGTCCATCACGAATATCCTATCGCTGTCCATAATAGTATCCAATCTATGGGCTATTGTGAACACAGTACAGTTTATAAATTTCGTCCTAACTGTCTTTTGTATAAGGGAATCCGTATAGGGGTCGATGTTGGCGGTCGCCTCGTCCAGTACCATGATCCGATTGTTCTTGATAATAGCGCGCGCGAGGCACAGCAGTTGTTTCTGGCCGACGCTGAAGTTGGATCCCTCATCGGACACTTTTGTGTTCAATCCGGCGGCCATGTCGGAGATGGCCTCCTTCAACTCGACATCCTGGAGCGCCTGCCACAGCACGGCGTCGGAATACTGATCGAAGGGATCGAGATTCCGTCGCAGACTTCCGGTGAACAGGAACGGCTCCTGAGGGATAATACTGATCTTCGAGCGGAAGTCGTGCAGAGCTATCGCGCCGGTGGATACGCCGTCTATAAAGATCTCACCCTCCATGCAGGCCAGGCGGAAGAGAGCGTTGATCAGCGACGACTTGCCCGCGCCGGTTCTACCGACGATGCCGATCTTCTCCTCCGGCACGATGGTGAAGCTGATGTTCCGGAGGATGTAACCGCCTCGGCGATTGTACTTTAAGCTTACATCCTTAAATTCCACGAGACCCTTCGTCGGCCAATCGTCCGGCGGCTTGGTCTCTGGCTTGCTGTCGATCATCGGTTCCTCTTCCAAACGGCTGTACTCGAGTATTCGCTCTATAGAGGTCAAGTGGCTCTCCAGCTCGGCCGTCTGTCTGATACCCCACTGAAGCAAGTTTATCAGCGCCATGGATTGCGTGATTATCAGTCCGATGTTACCAGCGACTGCCAGACTGTCGAAGACCGTGAAGACAATAAGTATCGTTCCGATGTAAAGCTGGCAGATGATGTCGATGTAGAAACCGAAGGCTCGAGAGGTAGACCGGAAGAGGAAGCAGGCGGACGCATAGATATCCTGATGAGCGCACAGGTCCGCCATCAATATCTCCTCGGCGTTAAAAGCCCTGATTGTCGTCAGACCCTGCAGAGACGCCCCGAGGTGGTCGAAGATCGGCGAACATGCTGGGCACAAATCGCATATTATTTGTCTTAATTCCTGTGCTTTGAGAAACGAAATCTAATCTCCACGAAAGCAAGTAAGTTCGTCTGGAAATGAAAGGATAAGGTGGAATACTTCGGTCTGTGCTTTCCTTTCGTTAAACATCCGTGATTAGTTCCGTGAACGTCTAAACGGATCTCCCAGAGTTCAGTGTTAACTCCCTATCTTTTTCTATCTCATTATTTAAGAGGGGACAGAGAGTTAACAGTTAACCTTCGATTAACAATTGACCGACGTTCGTGAAACTGGCCCTAAGATCGCCAAAGGCCCGAGTAAAGTCGAGACCACGTCCCAGTGAGAAATGATTCGTCGAAACGACGTCGAATCGACATCGACACCGTCGAATTGACGTCAATTTCAATTCGTCAAACGTCAATTCGACATCATTTCGACGTCGATCGACGAATCATTTCTCACTGGGGTAGTGGTCTCGTCTTCACCCGGGGCCTTTGGCGATCCGTCTACCCTGAGAAGACTCGGAGATCGAAGGTAATGTACGACTTCTCGTCGGCTACAGGTACCGTCTTTTGTTAGTGTCGCGTGGATTACTTACTTGTCCCTTCGAGGCGTTTGATACTGCGACCGGTGCTGACGTATATCATACGCAAATAGGTGCAAATGCAGGCGCAGAGCAGAGTGGGTATCGCCAACCACGGGGTGACCGCTATGATCATCACTGCTACCGTGATCGAGATGAGTCCGATCGTTATGATGTCGAATAGGGACATCGACATCATCAAGTCGATGATATTGATATCTCTGGCAAACCTGATCGCGAGAAATGTATTATTTTTCCTCTTTAGATAGAACTTCATCAAAGAGTTGTCCAAAGTGGACTGCGATAAATGGGAAGAGCACCGTAACGATTGAAGAGTGAGAAAGTTGCACCAAGCCAAATTCAAAATAATTACCTAGGCTTCTGCACTCACCGGTTTAATATACGGCCAGCTGGATTAGTACTGTAGAAGTACATGGTTGCGCGCAATATGCTACGAAACATGGCGGAGTGTAGATTTATCGAGGACCACATGCACACGTTGAAGTACACGATCGTCTGGAATTGCCACAGCAATATGATGGCCACCATCATAGCGCTGTACATGTAAAGCATGGAATCGCGAGATAGCGGGCCCTCCCATTGGAACTCCAGGGTGCTGTTGCCGGTCTCGTGCCACGAACTCGACTCGACGTTCACCCAGAACGCGACGAAGTAGTCGCTGCCGCCGGATATCGCCTGGGTCACTAAGAAGATTATCATCATCAGCGTGATTATGACGGGCCTCTTGCTCGCCTTGAAGTAAGCGAGCAACATTCCGTGAGATACGCGACCCTTGGTCATCGTTTCCTGCGTCTCGATCGGCGAGACGTCCCCGTTGTCTCTCGCCTCGTCCTTCAACGAGATGTGACGCTGAATCTCGGACTGCTTGCTCTCGGCCTCTTTGCACTTCGTGTCCGCCGCCTTCACCAGCTTCATAAAGTCGAGGCCCAACTCTTGTAACTGATCGAACGTACCCTTCTGCTCGACGCCGCCGTCATTCATCACAATAATCTGGTCGGCGAGTTGCAGGTACTGCAGCTGATGCGTCACCAGAATCCTCGTTTTCCCCTGATCGGCAAACGTGAAACGAAATCATTAAAATCCAGCACGGAGAAGCCTGAATCATCTTAATTCGTATTTTCAAATCATTCAGAATGTTCTTCATCGCGGACAGTTCAAATATAGGAAAGTTCCCCGCAAAATCTTTAGTTTTAGCAGATTAGTAGAGAAGACACACCATCAAGTTCTGTTCTATCATTATTACTGTCGCGCTGCTAATTCTTAGTTAATTGTCACCGAGGTGTGTTTCTAAAATCGAGAAACGAAATTAATACGTTGGTCTTGATTATCAAATCATCAAAAGTGAAGCAGCTAGGAAAACTGAATAATTTGACGACACGAAACTCAATGAAACTCGACCATTCCTATAAAAATTCTTTCCTGTTCGTCGCGATGTGAACTTTTGCTGTTTTTACCTTTAGGTAGCCGCAGATGCACTTGTCCACGAGCCGCCTGCTGACGTGCGTGTCTACGGCGGAGAGAGGATCGTCCAGCAGATAAATATCGGCGTCTTTGTAGATCGCTCGCGCCAGGTTGATCCTGGCACGCTGGCCGCCGCTCAGATTGATGCCCCTCTCGCCCACGATGGTGCGGTCGCCGTGAGGAAACGAGTCTATGTCCGATTCCATCTGGCAGACTCTGATCACCTCGTCGTAACGCTTCTTGTCCATCGCCTGACCGAACAGAACGTTCTGCCTCACGGAAGACGCGAAGATCCACGGTTGCTGGCTGACGTAGTTTATTCTGCCGCGACTCTCGATGTTTCCGCTCGTCAACGGCAGTTCCTGGAGTATCGCTTGCAAGAGACTGCTCTTACCCGAACCGACCTGGCCCACGATGGCGACGAAGCTTCCGGGTGGCACGGTCAGGCTTACGTTACGCAACGTGTCGTCCTTACTGTCGCCGTGCCACTTGGCGTTTACATTGGTCATACGAAGTGCAAGCGAATCAGTAACGTGACATGGGATCTGCTTCGTCTTGGTGATTTCAGCGTGCAGCATGAATCTTCGCAAACGACGAAGGCAAACCAATGCCTGTACCATTTGATGGAGACCTGCGGAACATCTTTTATTAGAAATTAAATTCTCACAAGTAAGTTTCAAAATGTTCATAAGTAAGTCTTTTGCGAGGAATTAAAAAATTTAAATTCCTGTCTTGGCTCTTATATTCTTTCGAATTATGATTTTACGTCAGAGCCTTAGGAATTTTATTGTTTAATATTCATAGTTATCTCATAAAAATTCCCATAAAATGGACATTAAAATGAAGTATAACATTAATCTTCAACAAATGGTAAATTTTTTGTATCTTATCTTTAAAAAATCGTTACACTCAAGATACGTGTAAGGTAAATAACTAAATTATACCGCGCGTTGTAAGACTTAATCTTTTTATCTTTAATCACAGTAAAATAGAAATGGTACTATGAGTCACGGGTCTCCTAAGGATTAATTCTCAGCATGTCATTTATGACAAAAGAATATCAATTGTTGAATTTTGATAGTCTTACCCATCGCAAATCCAAAGATCAACGAGTTCCGTATAGCATTGTAATATGCTGTTACCAAGTACACTTTCTCAGCATTGATGTAGTTTCCGAACAAGACGTATGCCGATATCGCGAAGAAGACACTGAGTCGCGGCACACAGCAGTCGAAAGTAAAGGCTAATTGTTTTAGAATAGAGTATTTTTTTATTACGATCATCTCACGCCTGCAAATAATTAGATTCTAACAACAATTTGGTAAAATGTCTAAGGGCTTCCATTGAGTAACATAATCTGTATTAATTTAGTATAAATAGGAATGCAAATGTAATCTTTTACTCAACTACAAAGGACAGTATTGCGTACAGATACGAATGGCATATAAAATAATAATAAAAAAAACAGAAAGACAAAATTAACACACTTACTTTCTCGACTTTTCCACCAGATTGTAAAAAGGAATTTCCCAAACATACATTTTAATCACTTGCAATCCGGTGATCACTTGATTCATCAGCCTGAGCCTGTCGTCTGTTCTTTCTGCTACTTTAAGCGTCAAGGGTGCGATTATCTTCGCCAAGCACGCTGAAACAGTGCGTGCCATTTGGATACGTGACACACAGTAATGGTATGATTTTTATCACCATTTATTTACGAAAGTGTGCCAGTACCTTGAAGAGGTATGAACAATAAAAAGGCCGTTATTGCTATCACCGCTGCCCATCCAATTTCGACAAATGTAACGTACGTGATCCATATGATTTGAATAGGAGCGATCCAAATGTAATGCAGATCTATGAGGGACATTTCCAATCTGGTAATATCGCTACTCAGAAAATTTACCATCTGAAAATGGGATATACACTCATAAAATGCGGATTAATCCTTCAAGCATTCATTAAAATTTCTTTTTTTCATCACTTCAATAGCCTTGGCTTTACGAATAATTTGGTAGCCTCGCTAACAAATAATTATCTAAATAGAAAATGGTGTTGCTTATTTTGCAGACAATCCCTCTATGTTCCCCAACACCCTTAGGTTCGTCACTCGTTTCCGTCTTCTTTCTTGCTTTGTACTGCTCGGTCTTCACGTTTGCTATACAATGAAACTTAGGAAACGAATACCTAGCTTGTATCTGGCTCACCTGTCCAACGGATGTCTCATTGTCCAGTACAGAATTGGAGAGCTTCAATACCTTTCGGTAAATCAACGCGGTACAGGCCACCTTCATTTTCAATCCCAAGTGAAACGAGCACTGCAGTGAGTAATGCATGATAAAAGTGTCCAGGATGGACAACAGGACTAAACCGGCTGCGTTGTAATACACCTCGTTACTCCATTCTTTCTTTTCGCTCGCGAAAAAGCGTAACAAATTGGCAAGTAATAACGGCTGGTACATTCTGCAATGTAATTAAATATAGTAAGAAGCAACACGTATGAACATTATTTTCTGAACTAGACGTTAAGGGTATTACATATTGCGCAATTTAAATCGCGAGATTTGCTTGACGTACCTAGAAAACAATTCCATAATTGCTTCCGCAACTCCAATTAGCAGAAGCGGTTTTCCAAAACAGCGCAACAGTACCCTAAGCAACTGCGGTTTACGGCCATTTTTCTTCTTACCGCACAATTCGACCTCTCTTTCCCAAGCTTTGCCTATACGTTCCCCCAAACGGCTGGTTCTGTCTTGCGAAAGAGTAGCGTAAAGATCGGTTTCCTCCAAATCTCTTTTGTAGCCAGTCCGAAAAATGTCTCGGGTCCACCTGTATGCATGAATTGCTAAAGTCTATGAATTTACACATATAGCTTATTATCTTAATTGTTATTATCTTTTTGCAGCAAGCAATCGATATTCGGGGCACATGCAAGTGGCGACAGTGGCGAGCATTGCTTTGAACAGGCATTAAAGTCTTTCTCGTACGTGAAGCTTCAAGATAAACGGCTATCTCCAATAAAAATATTTTCAACATTTCCTCATTATTAAGCCGCGAATTGATATATTACAATATGATATTTTATAACAAATGTGCGAATTTACAAGTGACTCAATCGTAGTATCCAACTGTTCTTACATAATTACATAATTTTTAATCATATGTACATATGCATATACATTTACTTTTGATTTAGATAGTAGATTACGGGCTACTTTTAATACCTACCAAAAGGTGAGAAGGGAAATGACATTCGCACGTTGCCGTGGATTTTTTGGAAATTTCTTTTGATCGTTGCTTATCATCGTGACGCGTGGAACTATTACTCATCTTCAAATATTTTTCACTTTAAATGTAGCTTGTGCTGTCTGTACATTTTCATTAATTATTGCGAAGAATGATTAACTAGAACGATAACAAGAGAAAACAGATAAGATAACAGACAAATAGAGTTTTTATGTGTAGAATGCATAAAAATGTCCTAGATCACACGCGCTTTAGTTTAATTGCACTTCTTTGATCAATTACCGTAGAGAGAGGAGGTTTATCTCAAACGTCCAACTTTCAACGTTATATATTTCAATAATAAATAAAAAAAATCTAGTTAAAACCATGGAAAGGCTAGAGCATAAAATGTTGGTACAATAATTTTACGGAGCAAAATTGCGTATTGTACTCACCAAATCGACGGTGTTCAGGACCATTTCGGGACTCTCGTCAACCGCCTGGAAACAACACGGTCGAGTCTGTCAATGACACTTTATCACATCCCGTGCACTTTATCATATTTCCTTACATATTCTTATCGTGAGTGAAATGCACACAACTACGCAATCAAATCTCCGAGAAGAAAAAGGATATTTAAAAGATGTAATCAATTATATCTCATCTGGATATACTGTAGCGTTTTCTTCACGAGATTGCTATATTGTTATGTACACGGCGTAAGACGCTACTGTGTCTACTGAAACTCGTTATCCTGACGCTTAAAACGATTGTAAATTTACTGATAGCACGAGCTTCTTCTTTATCACTGTTTCGAAAGACAGGAGTTTACGTTTTCGTTTAACGTAAGACCTGGTTGGCTTAACTTGACGCTATTTTCAAATTCATTTACGAATGTCTTCCATCCTTCTGAGGTATTATGTATTAGTTTTAGGAATATTTATCATTAATGATCAGCGATTTAGTAATTTTCGATTTTAAAGCGATATAATTTATTTTACGCGTGTGTGTAAATGTATATGTCATCAGGTGAAATCAATTTATACATTTTGATTTAAGACAAATTTTTTATTGCTCACATGCACACGTAAATTTATCACTTGTAATATTAGCTAACTAGTACTGAATTTATGCGCAATGCGTTTGCCAGGTACTTGGATCGTATAATTCTCAATACGAATGAGTATGACATTATACGAACGGGAACGATACTTTCTTCATATTTTCTCGTATGCAGAAAGTAACATCTGGCGAATAGCTGCAGCGAAAGGAAACGATATTATTGCATGTCATCGAAGCACGCCGAAGAACTTCTGTAACACGGAAAATAAGAGAATATTCGGGGAGAGCTGTAATTACGGCGTGTCTGCGATATTTTTGGCGAAATTCTTCTGCGATTCTGCTTCCGATATCGCGTGCATGAAGACAGCGTAAAAGGTACGCGCGTCTGGCTTATTAATCTTGCAAGAAAATTGCCGTTGCAAAATTGATGATATGACATTCATTTTGCATGATCGGCATTTCTCCGCATCTCCCAGCATTCGGCTGGGAAAGTTTACCTCGAAGCTAACGCGATACATTTATTGTCAGTCCACTGTACGCCTTCGACCAGTGTCGAAGTCGAGAAAGTCATGCAGGTACTGGACAACAATGCAAAGAATGTCTCGCCACGAAGGAAAGAATATATTCCTGAATAACTTGGTATTTTATTTTCAGTCGGCGGATCTCACTCGAGCGTCAGCCATAGTTAATTTAAACAGAAGGTTCTTGGGCTTTCTGGGCTTATGGCCGTGCAAGCTGAATCATTTTCTATTCGCATTCTTTACCATGTACATGATAATTTATCTTACCATGGCAGTGGGCCATCTGATCAAGATTTTCGGCCATCTGCAACTCGTTGTGGGAAATTTAACGGACAACGTTCTGTTCGCGATGATACTCGGAAAAATGTTTATATGCAGACGGAGCAGCGCGATTATGGCCAAGTTTCTGAAAAGCATCGAGGCCGATTTCACGACGGAAATGTACGATAATGTCCAGGAGAAAATGGCGTATCTGTATTATAACGAGATCGCGGTCATCTTTATCAAGTTCTCGCTGGGCATAGCCGGGTTCACGGCTACACTGTATTACCTCAGAAAATTTCTGGAAAATTGGAGCACAAGTAAGTACAATCATGCGTTTCCATGCGCAAGACTTAAAGCTGTATTTCATGATAATGACTTAAAAAGCATTATTTATCGTTCATTATCTATCATGCCGTCGCGTCATTATTTACACTTCCAAAGTGGAATGTACCGCGTTTAACTCGATACTTTGAAATACCAAGGTTCAGCGGCGGGAATAACAATTGAATTATTTCTAGTATTTTTAAACAATGCACGCCGTTACTTATTTCAACGAGATCGTATATTGCGACGCTACAACTTTCGTTTTAAATACTCGAATATTTTAATTCTACTTGTACGTCGATAGAAAGCGGCAGATATCTGTACAAAAAGATTAAGTAATGCTTGCACATTGGTTCTCGTTTGGATCAGTTTGATCGATGATACGCATATTCCAATTAGGCTACAGTTGGATAAATACAATAAGGGCGGTGGAAAATTAAATGTGACCTGATGTGTATAGTAGTGGCCGGTAATTTTTCTTATGAATTACCGTATCCGGTTCATCCCTTCTTTGAGATCGAGGACACGACCACGTACATATGCATGTGTCTCTACCTGGCGATGGCGATACCGATTATAGTATGCGGTTACTCTGGACCGGATGCTTACGTACTCAGCATGGCTCTTCATGTTTGCGGCCAGTTTGCCGCTTTATCATGCAAAGTCGACAATTTGCTAAGGGACCACGAGAACTACCATCGCCACATCACTAACATCGTATTGAGACATCACCAGTTAATAACGTAAATCTCTATTCGATTTGCGCGTGCACGTAAATACGTAACTTTAGTGTTCTTTCAAATTGCGTTCGTATAACACGTTGCACCTTGTAGATTATAACAAGCCATTAACTGTTAGCTGTTAATGTCGATCCGCGTTTTAACAATGCACCGCGATTCCAGATTAGCGGAGATCTTGGAGAACAACTTCAACCTGATATGCCTACAGCAAACTCTGGGCACTGTGTTCTTGCTCTGTTTCACTTTGTATCATATGATGTTGGTGAGCTTCATGAATTACCTAAGGATCGGAAGATTATTCCCTTATAATATGTTACTGTGATAGTATATAAAATTATGAAGAAACTGAAAATTTATTGTTCTTTCAAGTTTATCAAATAACGGTTGATTAAATTATATTTCAGACCTCGGAAGTCGGCGAAGATACTAATGTTGTAGTTTTCGTATTATACGCAATCTGTGTATTTAGTACAATTCTTGCTTATTGCTATATAGGCGAGTGCCTCATTACTGAGGTAATTATGAAAAGTTAATTCACCTTGACATTAAAATATCAATTTATTTATGATATCTTAGGATGGACGTTAAGTGTAAAATTTGCTTGTATCTCAATGTTCATTCTAAATTTTTATCTATTTCGATTAAACTTAAAAATATTTCTTTAGAAAAGCTCGAACGTATTAAACACAAGTTATTTATCATTCGCGAAATTAGACAAATGTAATAACATTGCTTATTTCATTCAGAGTACCGCATTACGCGAGGCGTTTTATAATTCCGATTGGTACAATAATGCACCTTCGCGTACGAAGTTAGTCGGCATGTGTATGATTCGATCTGAGAAACCATTAATGCTGACTGCCGGCAAATTCGTCATGTTATCCTTGAACACGTTCACGAGTGTGAGTTAACGAATCATGTGTCTATATTGTATACTTTTTTATCGTTTTATTACTATTTTTAGAGAACATTCCATTTACAGATTGTGAAAACATCGATGGCGTATCTGTCCATGTTACGTCAGTTTGGGTAAAAGACATTTAAGACACTTCGCCGAAAAATGTACAAAATATGGAAACGTGTAAAGATAACCGGATTATTATAATTTACAACCTTAATGCCAAATATATACATACATAATATATATGTAACAATTAAATGTAACAATTTATAAAAGGTTATAATTAATATATAAAATACATAATATGTTATACATTGCAAATGATATTTGAAATGTGGGCTCAAAGATCTATTTAGATTATAACAAGATTTTAGCGAGAATAAGAAAAGTGATTGATGATAAAAGAATCCAAACTATACATAATATATACAAAATATATAACTATAATAATATGTAATCAGTAGTCTTTTATGTATTATATTTCTGAGAGACTTACTAACGGCTGGTACGTTTCGCCATTTAGCAAGTAGCATGGTTTCGCCATGTAGCATCGCTCTTGCAATACTGTACGGTTCCGTTTCGTCGGAGTTAATGCAACAAATGCATTTAATTATGCGCACCACGCGAAGATGATTACGCTAATGATATTAAGTGCTTATAAGAAGTTTAATGATGATCGCTGCGGTTTTTCTACGCCGCGGCGCGCCGTACCAAATGTAAAAGAAATAGAAGACGCACAGATGTACGGTGACGAAGCAAAGGAGCGACTTTTCATGGTACGAGACGGTAAGATAATTAGTGCGCAAGGAAAGATGATGGCTCTAATAACAACTTAATGGCAGATCGGCTATTAAGCTGTTATGTTACCTATCAGGTATAGAATGTAAAAGGGCAAAATGACAAGATAAGTACCAGACCAACGCAAGTTTAATCGTGATATTATGCATTACGCATGCATGGGAGACTATGACACAAGCCTGATTCGCGGCGGAACGAATCACGATCGGACGATCGGTTGATGAAAGGCTGTACAACTCGGTTTGCTATGAAAGTAAGAAGTGGATACTCTGCTCGCGAAAGACATCCCGTAACGTTTCGGCCAGAGAAGGCAACTTCTCTGCGCTCGATACCAATTGAATCGTGCCTATTCAATTGATATATTGAACTGAACCCTAGCGGCACAGTGCATTGGCTAAACGTTGGTCCAATGTTGGTTAAATTAGAGATGCATTGGCCGATATTGTCCAACGTGAAGCATAAAATAAAAAAATAATAAATATTGGGAATACTAGATTTATATTATTTCAACGAAAGAATGTGAATCGCCAGTAGTTAATTAACAGTAAAAATAATTGTTAGACATTAGGCTGGCAGATGGTTTATTTGATTGATTCCGACTGATCTCATGTTGTAATCGATACATTTTTAAGCTTCAATGTCCTATAAAGAACTTGTAGATTATCAAATTCCTTGAAAAGGACCACAACCCATGTATGGTCGAAACATCGGAATGAAACAAATAAACCATCTGCCAGCCTAACGTCGTCTAACAATTCTTTTTACTGTTATATTATTTCCCAATATTGCGCCAACAGATTGTGCTACTAGGGAAATATTGATATATTTCCTTGAGCGATTTAAACAATATATGTTACTGTCACTTTCAACGGACTTTCATTCGAAACGATGTAATATTACAGAACGAAGTCGACCATATCGAAGATTTATTTGTTCATTTAGAACGGATCTTTTCCATCGGAGGCATATGGCCGTCCAAGAGGACGTACTTCCGTTTCGCGATTTACATCACGCACTTCGCGCTTTATCTCGTTATGGCGTATAGAGACTTTTACGACGTCTTCGGTAATCTCGAGCTGATGGTGATGAACCTCGTGGAAACGGTAGCTTACTCCATGACGTTCCCGATGGTGTGGCTGATACGCTGCAGCAACGTGCTGAGGCTCGTAATCGACGTGATAAAGAAGGACATGGTGGAACGGAAATTTGAGAATTCCGAGGAGGAGAGGATTTACTACAATTACAATTTTATATCCAAGATATTCACGTACGGCTCGATCGTCGGTATGTTCATCACGGTCGTATCGCTGTACCTCAGACCGCTCGTGTATGTCTTGACTGCTAATCAAGGTACGTGAAATTCATTAAACTCTCTTACTAGTCATCATAAATATGTTCTATCCGTAATAGGGAGATATTTAAGTCAGACTGCCTCGTTCAACACTCACCAAACAATCTGTCAATTTCCTAGCGGAAAAATGTCTATAAATAACTACAAAAAATTGATTTGAAATAGAAATTTGTAGAAATTTTGTGTCTTCGTTGAAACTAATTTTTTCATTACGTTCTTCAAATACTCCCCGTTACCAATGTACTTTATCCAAAGCAGAATTCGTTTTTTATCACTAACGTTTTTTCCATTTTCTTTCAGTGTTACGCAACGGTACGGAGTCGTTCATGTTACCCTACAGAGTTCATCCGTTTTTCGACACCGGCAATACTCATACATACATATTGATGTATCTCTATCTATTTCCGATGATTTACATCTCCGTTTGCCACATGGCGGCGATTTGCCTGATGGTTATCTTAGTATTCCACATTTGCGGCGAATTGTCCATCCTGTCATATCGTATTAGACACATTGGAGAACATTCGGAAGCTGTAGTAGCAGACAGAATTCGAAGCTTCGTTCGAATGCACCTTAAGATAATATGGTAAAAAATATTGCCAGTTGCGTAATAGGGCATTGATCTCTGTGTTTAATTTATCCGTTTATTTCGGTATGTTGATTAAAGGCTGGCGAAATCCGTGGACGATACTTTCAATTTGGTTCTTTTGGACGAACTCCTTGGTAACAGTGTCGTACTTGCTATCTCGCTGTATTACGTCATAATGGTATGTTACATTATCGAACATATTACTGTATCTAGTTTCTAATTTGTGTGTTAACTGTTAGTCGGTAAAAAAATGCTACTAATATTTTCATGATATATTTATGGCCACCAAATTCATTTGACATTACACCGCTTAATTTTCGTTCTATGAGGCTTTGTTAAAATTTGTACGAGCCAAGAAGGCGATCGTTTTTCTCCTGTTTTTCCGTCCGTCAATCGCACAATCAGGCCCAGTTTTTCATCTTCTGGTTGACTGTTAACCGGAGGTTAGTCGACTCTCCATCTTTTTTGCATTATTATCCAAGAAGAGATAGAAAATCGACTAACCTCTGGTTAACAATTAACCATAAAATGAAAAACCGGGCCATCCATCATGTATCTCTTTCCGTCATGTGTATAAAAATTTTTATTAAATTAATCTCTGTTTGGAGAATATAATCAAAATTATGATTGAAAGTCATAGAAGATACTGCATATTTCTTCTTATAAGTGACACTTTGTATCTTTTAGAACTTGGAGGTGTCAGAAATAGCGACCTGCTGCACTTTTACTTTCTTCGCCATTATCGCGCTTGTTATGCTCTTTGGATATTGCTTAATCGGTGACCAACTAACTCAACAGGTATCTGAGATAGAGAAAAGTTCTCTATTATGAGATAGGCTTCTAATATGAGACAGCAGGTTTTCAGCATCAAACTTTTATCACAAATCTTTATTTACAACGATTACACGATCTATGAATTTTCTACTAAACAGATTTCACGCCAATTAATTAACGATGACACCAAAAGGTGATGCCTATTAATTTAGTAAAAACCCTGCTATCTTATAGGAGCTTATCCCATAATATAGGACTTTCCCCTAATAATTAAAACTCCAAATTTCATTCGACCACAGCTAGCCACATTTGTTAATTAACCAGTTAATTGCAGAAAATTTCTTGCGAAAACTATCACGTCAGCCAGAGTTTGAACCTGGACTTCTCTTACTCTCTAGGCGGGCGACTCATTTCTCGCAATTCTCTCTATTTTTCGCAATACATTTTCCACATTAACCGATTAATTAACAAACGTGGCCAGCTGTGATCGAATGAAATTTGGAGTTTTATTATTATACTGGCAATTTTGAAGAAACTAATCTTAAAACTAGTAACATACATTTTTTAATCGTAGTTTTTATACTTGTTTTGTGTTTAGTGTATAAACGTGCAGAATGCGTACTACGAATGTAATTGGTACAAAATGCCGGTCGGTTGCAAAAGGTGCTTGCTAATCTGTATGATTCGGGGACAAGTTATGCTCTATTTAACAGCCGGAAAATTTTATATATTTTCCTTAAACAGTTTTACGGACGTAAGTGTGTCGAAATAATATTCTCACGCGTGAGAACAATTGGCCACACTGATATTACATTCGCAATCGTGGGTGACGATCGAAGAGCTCACATTCAAATTGTTTCAAGCCATTTAAAAAGAAACATATACGTTCTTTGTAGCCTTTGCAACACTGTTCTTATTTTTGAATATTCTAATTGTATATAATGTTATATATATTGCAGGTTATCAAAACTTCCTTGGCGTATCTGTCGATGCTGCGTACCCTCTTATGAAAAATTATGAACAGATTTACGTATGACTCACAATATTAAACAAATCTGTGCGCTACAGATAGAAAAGTGCACTTAGTGCCATTTTGAATTGCAACAAAATATCAACATCGTAAAATATATTAATCAAAGTAATTTACAGTACATAATTTGTCCCAAAGCTCGTAGTAGAAAAAGTAAAACGGATCAAACATTATTGCAGAAAATTCTCGTAAAATCCCGCGTCCCAATATTTTTGGAAATTCGTAAAGCTTATTGCACGCGCGATCATTCCTAGAGCCAATTGACAGCAATTTGCGTTTGAAATCATATGTCCGTCGACGTCGAGGACCAATTACGAAGGATAACTTTTAGTTTGAATCAAAAGCACATGTGTCTCGGGTAACACGTTTATATGCAATTTATACGTAAATTTTGCCCAGGCTATCCCCAGATTCTATAGACAGTTCTGAGCATTGAGACCGAGATTACTTGCACTCCCGATTTCTTATATTCGGTGCAGTTTCGTGTGAGCTCTCGAGGAAAGAACAGCTTAAAACGCGATGCAGGTGAATTGTAAATTGTCATTAATGTTACGATAAATCATGAAAAATTCTAAGACGTTATGTCATTCGGCGATTAATTAGAGGCTTTTTACAGTGTAAGATTAAAAAGACTTGAACCGACTAAGAACTTGTTTCAGAAAAAAAAATTTGCTAATGTCAATCTTATTTTCTCAGTTAATTTCGGCTACTTCAGTTTTTTCATAGCTCTGAAATGTCTGGATCCCTTTCCTCTCGTCGACGACATCTTAAACACGCGATCGTGAATTTGAGAAAGAATACAACGTTCTCAGATACTTGTGCAAATAAGTATGCGACGTTTATATAACGATCCAATTGGTGAGATCATATAACGGCAACTATGAAGGACTTTGATAAGACGAGTTATAGAACCGGCGAGGAGACGAAAGCATTTACGACCTATAACGCCAAGTCAGAGATCTTCAACGAGCCGTTGATGGTTTGTTCCGTTGACATCTTTATTATATTATTTAACTCCTATTGTAATTATCCTCGGAAACGGTGAGTCACATTTACGTAACGTAATCAGTACCCAGGAGAACTGTGTGAAATATGTAAAGAAATAAAGTATCTAGCGTACCGCAACACGGTAGCCTTTCTGGCTAATGTCATTGAACGTTTTTCTTCTAGGATGAAAATAGTGATCAACAATATACGTGACCTATCTATTTTTAATCTATCTATTTAGGACATGTTCTACTGATTGTCTTATCACTTATGACCGTTTTATGAGACCGAGAATTAGGTACGAGAGTGCGCGGACGTATACACTCACACTTTGCAAATGCCATCTATCTTGGTCAGCGATTTCGGACAAAGCGTCGCTGAATATACTTGGTCTTTCACATTCGCCAGATGTCAGTGTTCCCGCTTCGTATATTAATAATACATTGGCACCGAACTCTGTAATTGCGGCACGTGATGCGCATGCATATACGATTATTGCGGCGAGCTCTCGCACATGCACGCGACAACAATTTTTATTAAGATCTAAAAATGATCAGAAGAACTGTTTGTTCGTCCAAAACTTTTCTTCAGTTTCATGCTCCAATTGGAAATGTACATTTTTATTCTTTTTCATTTTTCTTAACATCAAGACTCTCTTTGAATAGGTCTTCTATTTTAGATTTTGGCTCCCCCTTCAAATTTATCAATACATAAAAATTGAGTATCTCAATTAAATTAATAATTAATTTCGAGAAAATTTGGTTTTTAGTTGTAACAAATTATGAATATATTTATTGACTTTAAGATATCCTAAGTTGATATATAAATTTGTTTCAGGCTGGGAAAAATAATGGAGAGGACAATAGTTCGATGCGGCAGTTTTACTTTTTTTTAAGGAACTACGTCTCTTGTGTGCATAATCAGTTATCTAACGGTGAGTCAATGTTATGTACCTAATGATAATCACATGATTTTATTAATTGCAATGATTCATCGATTACTTCGAATTGCTTTTTATTCAAATTTGCATTCAGTTTTGAAAGAGCTTATGGTACTTGATTTAATATTATCTTACGTAAGAAAGTACATCGTATACACTTACCAAGAAATTCGTAAGCCTGCAGAGCGTAGTACTCAGAAAGAATGTGTTATTTCAAACAAATTACGAATTTCATTTGAAGTGGAAACCGATTGGTACTCGATCGAGCACACTCGAGAATGAAACACTGTGTATCGTTTCGCGGCGTCGCGTAAGCTTTCACGAAGGGAAAAGGCGGTCGACTGTCCCACACTCCACTCCGCAAGTTGTAATTAAAGCCGCGTGAAGGTTGCACGTATACTACAATTTAGACAAACCACTCAGTCAATATGTAAACGGGCGAACGACGTGTTACACCACGCTACGTCACAAAAAGACAGTCGTTTATTGGTTGGTCTTCTCAGCAATTTTTTTTGTTTGTAAAGCAATTTCGACAGCAGCAAGATTGTGAGTTATTCCGAGAAAGATGACAACATCAGCTTTTCGGATCTAGAAAAAATATGAAACTGCTTATTTAGAAAGAATAAAAAGATGCCAGGTGCATCATTAAAAAATAAATTGCAGTAATATACATTTGGACAAAGCGAAAAGTTTTTCGAGTAGGAGATGCTAAAGAAAATTAAAGTACGAAAGATATTTAAAGAGAGAAAGAGAGTGTAAAACAATTTAATTTACGCTTTATTTATATTTCCACAAATTGTCTTTTATTACAAAAGATTTTATTTATTTATAACTGAGATGGCGCGTGGGATACATACACACGAGATTTTTGTCTACGTATAAAATCACGCAGTATTACGTAGTGTTACGCAATATTATGTACAGATGCGGAATTTGTAATACAATATTAAACTCTAATGACAATTAGTGTAAGCTATTTTTAGGACTAAATTGCTGTTCTTTTATTGTAACAATTTTATTAAGTTGTTGCACTTTCGTTTATTTGATTCTCTTATAATTCTAGAGGTGTGCGATCCCTTGCAGGATCCGAAATAAAATTAATTCCGCATTAAAAATTTATCAAATTATAAGTAATGCGAGAAACGAATGAGGTCGCTATTTCGGGACCCCCGAAATATTTCGGAAATATTTTTAATAAAAAAAAGCGAGATATTAAAAATGTTATCCTGCATTGCACTTACAAGTATTGCATATAAATTTAACGATTAATTTTTCCAATCAGGTCAGTAAATTTGGGTGGTAGCTTTGTAATGTTGAACCGTATCAATTACAAAAGTACAAAAAGGATCAGCTACACTAGCGGCACTATATGTGCATTAAGATGCTTTGATAATATTGTGCTACGGAATAAGCACTGAAAGAAATTAAAGGATGGACGGGACATTGCTCGATAATAAATATTACTCCTGAAAATTCTAGAATAGCTACTATTCGTCTAATTACAATAATCACACAAGTGTTTTTATCCGAAATATATATGTATTCTGTGATTATATTACGTGAGGAAGTCATTTCTCTTTTTTTATGATATATAGGGTAAACTAAAGTAGGGTAAACTATATCATTATTGGCCACCCACGCAATATTTACTTTCGTCAGAATTGTCAGTAAGCATCGCATCGAAAACAATATACAAGTACGTAATTGTACTCTAATCTTATCATAATTTAATTCTATAATCGAAATAAATAGAGGATTACTGCTTGAGTAGCTTTGTAAATCAAACTTCAGCGATTAAAATAATTAATTATATTTCAGCATGCATTGGTTGCTGATATTCTCGAGATGTTATTCAATTTAAAGTTTCTATAACGTCAAACGTATCGCAATTGGACGATATTAACGCCCGGAAGGACGAATTTCCTATAAATTCGGGTTCCTAATAATCCATTAAGACAAGCAAGCAGCGTAATATATAAATAAAATTATCTAATTCTCTGAATATTATCACATGATTACCATATATGCAATGGCCAATAACTCTATGATTTATCCTAACAACGAGCGGGACTAGTGCCGCCTTTATCGGGGCTTATGAATGGAATTTTCATCGCAATATATAATTGAGCAAGAGACAATAACGCTTTAGTGTCTAACACGAAAAAATTCAAGTATCCATCTAATAATATTGGAACAAACGTTCATCTAGTTGGAGCTTCTACATATTTGTGCGGTAAAAGAAGAGAGAGAAGAAATAGCGAACGAACGAGATGGCACCCTGAATCAAAGAAGCACGGTCCGCGGGAACGACATTCAACTTGTCGTACGGTTCCTTATTACGTCGCATTAATTAAACATCAAATCGACGTAACGCGCGATAGTGATTATGGAATGGGATTATAGAATGTACTTTCATCCTGAGCTATAAGAGTCTATGAATGAGAAAGAAGTTGTCTACACAAGCGTTAGGAGTGAGATGCCCTTGTGAAGTCCTTCTTGATGGTCGAAACTCCTGCGGAGGAGGCGTTGACCTTGTAGGCACTACTCTTTGCCTCTGAGGGATGCTTGTGAGTGCTCGTCGAGGATTTCCTAAGTGGTTTCTGAATTTGCGTTGTTGACAGTCCGCTCACCGGATACTTGTTCCTGCTGGACGTCGCGCCGTTGCTGCTCCGCGTACCGCTCTTCGTGGACGCGGCGGTGGAAGTTATCTCGCTGGGATGCTTCGGCAGGACGAAGGCCTTCGTCTGCTTCAGCAGGTATTGGTCGTTGCATAGCGCGGAAATTAACGGTAAATCTAAATTACGACTTTTCTCGCGAAGCGTTCGGATGTCCAACATATCGTCGCCCTTTCCTTCGTCATTCTCCTCCACGCCATTGCTGAGTTTCTTAAGTTTGCTCGTAGCCGTGGCGGCCAACGAGGAGGTTGTCGTTGAGGAAGACGACGGTAGCGGCTGATTCTTTTCAAGATTCTAAAACAAATAGCATACCTTCTCATTAAAATATATATAATTTTGTAAAAAAATGTATCATTCCAAGATACAGAGATTGTCTTTTGTTTTTAAACATGTACATTTTTCTCCATAATGCTTTAATTTGAATTTAAGATTAATTATATAATATATGTAAAAAATAGTCACGAAACTAAAGAATAATGCACAAGTGCGCACAACAAGACAACAAGAAAACCCAAGTATCCTCTCGTTTCGATTTCGATAAACTGTTGTAATACCGATCAAACAAAAGATATGGCATTTTTTTTATATCACCTGTATTTCGTAGGGCGGCGGCGGCGGCGGCGGTGGTAGCCTGCGATGCTTGGACTGCGGCAGAGATTGCATCTTGCTGGCAATTAAATTATCCAAGCATTTGAGGATGTTCTCGTCGCTTCTAGTCCGCGAGAACGCATCCAACGTGTGAGGGTGAGTTGGCACGGGCGGTTCCCTTCTGAGACTGTGGCTGCCCGTGGACGAACAGGTTGCACCGCTATAAAGCGAGCTAGTGCTAGCGGCGTAGTGGCTGTTCAGATTGCCTTGAAGATAATTCCCGCTTGAGCTACCGACGTCGCTGGAGCTCAGATTCTGGTTGGACGCGTACTTGGATTGCGAGGAAAGTGAGGAACCAGGAAGATAGGGTGTGCTACGATACATCACCGAGGACTTGCTGAAGGACGGATACGGTGGCGGCGGATAAGCCGCCATAGCCGCCATGAGAGAACCCTGCTTGGCGTCAATGTACTCTTGCTTCGACACCGCCGGATCTTTGAGTGGAAATATTACGAAATCGACGTCGGAGTAAAGTTGTTGTTTGTACTGTTCTATCTGCGATCGAGAAACTTGACTTGTGTAAACGGTCGCCAGACTGGACGCCGACTGTTGCGTCGTCGATGATGATGATGATGGCGGCGGCGGCGGTGGCGGTGGCGGCGGCGGTTGTCGCGGATGTATTATCGGCGGTGGTGGCAGAGGAGGCGGGGGCGGTGGCGTTGTCAGATACGGTAAAAGCACCGGACCGCTACGGGAAGCGTGCACGTCCAGGTAATTGTTCGGGCCGACCACGAGAGCGGCAACCGGTGCATGCACGGGGGTGGGTTTCATCTTATCGCCCGGATAGGTAGGCGGTTGGATTCTAGGAGGTGGTTTCGGCGCGACTTTCCCGTCGCTGGTGGTTTTCGCGACTCTCGGAGCAGGGCCGATCGCCGTCGGCATGTCGGGATAGGGCGGCGGGGGTGGTGGAGGTTCCCGCGGCGTCACAGCGTCGTTTCGCGGCGGGGTGGGTGGCGGTATTTGAATTCTCTCTCGCGACGACGAGTACGGAGGCGGCGGCGGCGGTGGATCGGCTCGTCGTGGCGGCAACGGGACGAAGTCACCGCGGGTGGTGTTGTACGGCGGTGGCGGTGGTGGCTCACGTTCCCGGGCCAACTCTGGTATGCTGGACCTCTTCGAGACATTGATCGTCGCGTAGTCAATGGTCTCTCTCGGATACGGTGGCGGCGGCAATTGCCGATCACTGTCCGTCCTGGGTGGCGGCGGCGGTGGTGGCATCACGTACTCACAGTCCGAGTCTATCGAGTTACTGATAGTTTGGTGCGGGGGATACCTGCGGACTATCAGGTCCGATAACTCGTCAGCTGACAGTAACGGCCTCGCGCTGGACGGATCGCTGCCGTCCCCACGGAAGCTGCTCACACTGAGTATGCTATTGCTACGCGAGCGCGAGTCCTCGAGCTGTCGGTTCAGGGAGACCCCGTCATCGTCGCCCTTGCACAGGCTATATATTGGCTCCTGATCCTCCGCGCCAACATCTTCCGTGTAAACATCGCTGCTTTCGGATCGTAATCCACTGTGAATGGTGTAGAAGCCGGACGTGATAGACGCTTCGTCAGTGGTCGATTGAACGGAGCTCAGGGCGCAAACATCACTCGCCGCCGAGGACTCGTTGGTGTCGCCCGTAGGTGAATACAGGTCATCACTAATTCTTTCGTCTTGGATCTCACTGCTTCTCAGCGTGTACACGCCGCTAGTTTCACTGGCAATATCGGTACCTGAAAAAAAAAATCACTTGGAGATTTACGACTATACGTGACCACGCCTTAATTCGGAACGCGAGTGAAAAACAGAATGGCATTTGTATTCTGTGCACGTTTTTCCCGCGCACCATTACAACAGTGGGAATCGAGGGACTGTAGTAAAATACAGAGGGACGCGGGCTAGGTGATTCTAAAAAGGTACTATGTCGACAGAGACGTTTTCCAAACTGCTGACCCTGTTCTCCTGTATTCGCTCACCTGTGTATTTACCTGTCTTCTTACATCTGTCGTAAATAGCACCCGGAAAGCTGGCAGTCTCCGAGGAGATCGCCGAATTTTGCGCCGTGTGCGAGTAGCCTAGCTCCAAACTGGACGTCGCCGAGGCGCGGCGTATCCGCGACGTTCCGCCCGCAGACGCGTTAACGACGACCACCGTGCTGCAACTGCTGCTGCATTGCGAGCCCTCGGCGGCGGTCGCGGCACTTGACGCGAGGCGTAGTACCACCGATGTAGAAGTCGCGTCGGAGTTGTCAATCTCTGAAAATTGTCCCGCTATCATGTTTAGATTCCACCGTATTCCACCGCGATTGCGGGGAAGCGATCAAGCCAATAAGACATACTGGCGTGATCCATAATCCTTCTCTCTCACTCTATGAAGAACAGATTGCATTTCAGTGTAAGTGAATGTTTCTCCTTCTTGCAAACTAATGACAGATCGCAATAAATAAAAGCTCAAATTTAACGATTTAAGTAAAAAGATGCTATACGGCAAAATTATCCACACTGGTGAATCCATATATGGAGAAGCAACTTTACTTTTCGTCAGGAAACGGAGTGTGTTACGTTGTGTGGTGAAATTTTTGGACTCGACTCAGCGTTAATAAATTCAAGTTTCTATTATTGACTAAGCTTACCGTCAATAATAGAAACGGAAGAGGATGGCATAGAGTGATTGTCCGTATCCCCACTCGTGCCATTTAAAACTCTACTCTGGCCATCCGAATAAGGTACCGTCTCGGTAAGACGTGGCAAACACTCGGTCGACGCTGGTGCGGTATCAGGCTCATCTTCGCTATGCACCCGATCGCTGACGATACCGGACGTCGTGTTCGAGGATGTACTCGAGATGACGGAAATTCGTTGGTCGCCGCGCGCACCGCGCGCCGTTAAACTCAACTTACATCGGGTAGGGTACATGTAACAATCCCTCAAGACTTTCCGTTCTACAAACCGGATTTAATCTATTATATTATGACAATTCACCATTTTCAAAGATCTATTTAATTTCTTCACAGCGGCTTCAAAGGGGCTCAAAGGGGAGATAAGGAAGAAAAAGAAAAGGAATTAAATAAGAGAAGAATGAGAAAAAGATGCATGCGTACACGGCGGAAAATGGAGAATAAGAAAGGATTATCTTACTTTACATGGTATAAGAGCCAGCGAAGAATGTAAAACTGGTAATGTTGAGCGATTAATTAATTAATTGCTCAATACTTGATAAGGAATAAAAATACAAAGTAAGTTCACCTTCTTCCTCCCGCCTAATAGCTTCGTTTACTCTAGGTGCTATAGCCATAGAGAACTGATGGGTGTCGCGGCAAAGCCCCAAGAGAAGCTTGCTCTTGTCATCGCAGCCGCTGTAGAGGGTGAATTTTTCCGGCTGGTCAACCGCTCGGATTTCGAACTTTTTGCGCTGTGTAAGACACAAAAAAATTGTTTTATACGATTTTTCGCCCCTCTGGAATGACAATTCGACATTGTTGCAGCGAACGAGCAGGAGCTTCGACGATGACATATTATTTCTTTTGGTTTTAACGCTTACATCGAAAGAGAGCTTGCCGATATTGTTCCAAGCGAAAACGCGCGGTGTCTCCTCCTCGGAGTAGATTCGCACTCCGCGAGCGCAAATTGCCAGGAGTATGCGCCCCGGCCCCGCCTCGTTCTTACTTCGGCGCAACCGATACAGGTGAGCGTTGAGCGGCGCCTCCAACAGCATCGCCTCCCGGATGTATTGCAGCTCTGCCTCCTCTCTGGAGAGCCCACTGTTCTCCCTGTGCTGGGCTGCAAGCACGGCGAGCACGTTCGACTCAAGGCACATCTGAGAGCATTCGAGACACATTTAACCGATTAAAAGGATATAATCGTGATCCGAAGTGATCATGTAAGAATCACACATTTAACATGGCTGCATTTAAGGGAAAAGTGTAATCGCACTGTAAAAACAACATAGTCATCAATCAATTCCTTTCGTCATTATAAAAATTAATGTTGTCGAAGCCGAATTATCTGTTGATTCCACCATGAGTGTATTGGAGCCAAATCTGTTTAGTGGAAAATTCATTGTTAGATCGTGTAATGGTTGCGAAAAAAGATCTGTGATTGAATTTGGGCGTTGAAAACCCGCTAGTACTAGAGACCTATCGCACAATCGAGGACTTTCCTCTATATATAATAATTCCATCACTCTGCGTCGAGGAAATTAGAAATCTCTGAGAACTGAGAGTTTAGCTTACATGGGGAGGAAGGTAATCCGTGGGTTTGCAGTAGCCGACAGATCCCGCATGCGGTCTGTGACGTTCTTCGGAGTAATCGCCAAGGTCGGCTTGAAGGGCAAGCCCAGCGAGCACAAGCAGCGGCGTGATGATGGATAGTTCGTGAAGGGGATGGTGAGAATGGAGGCTCTCCACCCCGCCGCCATGCCTGACGACATTGTCGCGCAGTTGCAGGTAATAGTGGTGCCGCGACGTGTCATCGCTGAAACCACAAGTATTACAATAATAATAATCGAAAATTATCGTGTAATATTTACGTTTATTCCAATATTGGCCAATGCACTTTTAATATAATACCAACATTGCACCAATGTTTAGCCAATGCACTGTGCTACTAGGGTACAATGTAGAAGGTTTCCAGTTCGTAAAGAGCGGCCCAGGCAGACTGGGTATACGTTTTGACCGAATACTTTTGGACTGAACTTTTACTTTATACTTTTTAACTGAAATCGGAAGCGATGGCGAGAGCACGGTCGAGGCCGGTCGAGGCTCGTAGGCAGAAAAATTAAACCCCGAGGGCAAACGGTGAATCGTCAAATTCAATGTAAATCACAGGGTTTCGTGTGTCGAAATAAAAAGAACCACTGCGAATCGGTATAATTACCGCTCTGCGAGCGCTCTCGTTTTAGGCGTATCCGTCTATCGTTTTCTGTATAATTATTTTATAATTACAAGAATAGGTAGCACTACTCAGCTACTGGACGAGAATCCGGATTTCGTTTCGCGAAAATAAAATCTCTCTCTCTCGTATGAATTTATCCCCGCAATTTCGTATCTCGCTGTTTCCGCGTACGCGACGCCCCTCGTCTCGTCTTCGCGTCTCTTACTCTTTTCCATGACGGAGCCTTTTAATCGCACGACACCGGCGGCGTCTTTTAGACACTGTTCAAGAGAGAACAAACAGCCGAACTTACTTTGCATTTTGCAACGCTGGCAATACACGGATGTACGGCATATTCGTTATCACGATTCCGCGAACGAATTAAAGATCGAAACGTTCCTGTTCCTTCTTCGAAAATATCTGCGACCAACCGATTGGTCGAGACGCGGAAATTTATGTATCTTAAAGATTTGTTTAAAAATAGTTTATTTTGAACAGAAGATATTTATGTGTTACCTTAACAGTAATGGCGTATCGATGTAGAAACGAACTCGAAAGTATAGAACAAAGACTGGTCTTCCACTGCTATCCAAACCCTGCAAATAATATAAACGTATAATATTCGTATATTATGTGTCACAATAACAACTAGAAGAGTTGCATATTATTTTAATAGTTATTGCGTTACAGCTGCCCCACGCCGTCCGGGATACTGTTTAACCGCACACTCGTTTTTCCAGAGAGAAATTTGATAGAGATCCTGGTGCTTGAAGAAATTTGTGAATTGTCTAAAGCAACTCACAGTCTCGAGAGCGCAAACATTGTGTCACTTACGTCATCTGAGATGATCAGTGAAGAGGAAGTTCTTAACGAACACTATAAAAGAGTGAGTCCGCAGTTTTGTTCAGTTCGACCATTGGTTGAGGACAACCTGAGTCGGAATTGGTACCCACGCGGCTCAATTGGAAGATATTAGAAGTAAGTGAGGAGAATCATTTTTGTATCGCACAAATGTATCTGCGAATACAAGCTTATTGGCCTTAACGCGAATTATCGTTTTCTATGAACAGTAGAAAACAATGTAAATCTGTTAATTGCAGTCTCTTCGAATCATGTCAATTAATATCAGCGAATAATCGTAGTTACAAAACCGTACTTCAGGTTTCTAACAGTTTCCGGTAAAGTATACTTTCCTCTCTTTCTCGTTCATTCGCCTCTTTCCGTTCGGTTCCCGTGCTTTTTTTTCGTTCCTTCTAATTAAAATAAAATGATAAACAGCAAGTAAGCAACTACTTACATATGTATGAGAGTTCCGCCAATTCTTTGGGGCGTATTTGCTCAGCTTATTCTCGGGATCCACAAATAGGTACTCGCCGTCTGAAACATATAAGAACGACGCGTTTGTTTCAAGTCTATTGCTATACAAGCGTTAAAAGTATCCCAGCGAGAAATGATTCATCGATCGATGTCGAGTCGACATCGGTACCGTCAAATTGACGTCGATCTACGAATCATTTCTCACTGGAATTCTACACAATTTTTCTAAATCTTTTATTTTAGACAAATAGCCAAGTATGAATTTGCAATTTCTTTTATCGCATATTGGATTCCGCAGCATAATTAGGTACGTATCTAACGACAAGACGAATACGTCTCCTTTCTGGCATGGGCTGTTGAGCCCATTCGGAACTCGGAGGTTCACTTCCTTCGCACGTTCTTTCGCACGATTGACAACGCCGAGGTGCCGATACTCCATAAACGAGTGAAACAATGAAAGAGGCCTGGCAAGAAGATGTTGGTGAATGAGGGCCCCCTCAAACCTGTCCGGCCTGCACGCGGCCAGACGCCCGAGCTCTTATGGCACGATAACGTGACATGTTTTTCACACTGGAATTCGATTTGAAACCTCGAATGCTGACCGGGGACCGTAACCAGGGTTCGGGACCCTCAAGGTTCCCGCGCGCAATCCGTGCAATCTACAATTCTCCCGTGCAAGCAAACGCCGTGCTGGCAAACTAGCTGTTGTTGCATGCAAATGCAAAATCCCTCTCACGATGAAACAACAGTCGCCCATGAATATTGGATAGGTTCATCTTCGTCAGCACAAAACCTATCGGCGTCCGCGTTCATAACTAAAATCCATATCCGAGTTTTCTTTCCGTTTCTCGCGCTCAATTTTTTTTGCCGACGGTAAATTATTTTGCGCGCTGTTCGCTCTTAGAAATGAAGATTATTGCAAACTTCGAAATTAAGATTTCGCATCGCGAATTTATGGTTAATCTAAGTTTAAGCGACGCGCATACATAGTGCTCACATTTTCTTCGCAAAAGTATATATCTTCTAATTTTGTATATAACTTCTGCCCCCCCCCTCCCCTCTCGCTCTTTATAATATATCAAATTACACGTAGAATTTTATCCTGTACTCTGTTGCAAATTATAGGTCGTCTAAAATGGACTTAAGCCGCTCCGGTATTCCTCTTTCGATACGCTCCCTCTTTCCGTGGGGAAGAGAGCACCTGTGTTACCCGAGGTATAACCCGGCCATTACTCGGGAATGTTGCCCGAAGGCTAACCCTGGCCCTCGCGTAATAATCCATCGGGACTATAGGGCCCATCGTATTCCACCGGAGATATTCTTCGCAGTCACGGAGGGAGCGCACGGCCTCCCTTTTTTCTTCATCTCATTTGGATTCGATCGAGCCCGCGTCGTGGATCTTAAGTTTTATTCCCTTTTGCTTCAGACTTTCGTCTATCCCCCGGTGTCTAGCCTAGCACGGACGTCCTAGCGTCTTGCTCGCGAAAGACAGAGCCGAAAGTTTCAGAAGTTTCCAAGTCGACTTGACTTTCTTCATTTTTAAACAGAAGATATATATATTTTTTAATATCACATCTGTTTTCTCGATTCCTCTCATTATTCTGTACGAAAGGGCTGGTTACCTTTCGAATATTTCACTCTGACAATTTCGATAAAGTACGCTACGTTATGTTTCACGATTAGCCCTCCGCTCAATTTCTTCCATGCCGGTGTGTCGAAAGCGATTTAGTTTACAGAACTACGCGTCAAGCATCGTTATTCGTTTCCGTTCGGTGTATAAAACTTTCAGGAGCCGGCCTGCTCTTGGCCACACGTAGGCTCTTGGCACGAGATACGATCGTGTTTCTTAATAAATGCAGGCCGCACTTTGTAAAGAGCATCGGAAAAGTCGGAAAGGCGCATCTCCTGTGTGTCGCAACGAGAAAAGTTCAACAAGCGAGAACTTCTCTCTCATGAGCCCATCTGTTTCCCAGAAAGAAACAATGCTCTTTTTTTTCCTCCTTCCACCTCAGTACGGTGCAGCAATGCGCTATAACCATAATTACACTCGTAATCATCCCTGATTGCCTTGATCACCACCCGGTGGAAGAGGGAGGGATCCGAGCTGCTCTCTTCTACCTTCGCAACTTGGCACAGACGTCTCCATTCAAACGCACACTTCTCAGCTTGCCAAATCTATCAAAGATTTCTTACGAGAAACGCAAGCGCGGCTCAGCCCTGACGTCGGTTTTACATCCACGACTCTTCTCCTTCGTTGCAAAGAATCGTAATTTTAATAAAATTCACGAGAACTGGACGGTAGAAAGGAAGGGAAAGGGAAGAAGTAACGAAAGAGAAGAGCAGGGAAAGAAACAGTTGGCGAAGGAAGAAAAGATGGCGAGGAGATTTCTTGAATCGACCAAAAAATTTCTTCCTCTCTCAAACTAGACGTGTGACCGCAGAGCTAAGACCGACTCAACTCTGATGGCACAGAGTAGCGAGGGGGGGAAAAAAGAAGGAAATGTCGCGGAAAGAATGAAAAACAATTTTTGCTATGTGGAAAACGGGTTTCTTCTCCAAACAAAATCAAAGGGCTCCACTGAAGGCTCTGCGCAGAAGGTGTTGCTCGCGGTGGCGAGGCTCGTCGTTGAGCAGGATGTGACATACAGCGTGGGGCGCTGGAAGGATACGAGGGGAAGAGACACAGGGGGGGGGGGAAGAGAGGGAGAGAGAGGAGGGACGTCAAGAGGCCCTGTTGTGAGGCGCAGCTTTAACCTCGCCGCGATATATATCCCTTGAACCTGCGCCGGAGCGTATTTTCTGCCGTCTCTCCCCTCCGCCCAGCTAGAGAACGGACCTTTTCGCCCCTCTTCCACCACGTCGTGTGCCAACGATCCCTGTCCTCGGCCGTCCTCCTTCCACATTCCTGTACGCGGGGCCGTACGTTGCGCCGGCCGGAGATGCTCGACCGGGAGATGGAATACGAGAGGCCTTATACAAATCATCGGGCTACCGTCTTACCCGGGGCCCCGTTCTCTTTTTTTTCCTGCTTCCCCTTTCTGCCCGTTTTTCTCTTTCTCCTCTATCTGGCCGCTTCCTCTCCTCGGCGCTCTCGTCTCTCTCTCTCTCCCCTTCTCTCTCCTCCGTCTTACGGCAACTTATTATCTCTCTCATTTATCGCATGCTCGTCTCTCTATCTATCCATCTCTATCTCTTTTATTTTTATACGTACAAGTTGAACATACGTGTTCCCTTTCTCAATTATTTGCGTCTGCAAAACTCAAATCGGGCGTAGAATGCAACGCGCGTTGATGTCCAAAGTGGAGAGTCTAATGTCTCCTGGCCTGTTTCGTTATTACCGTTAAATATTCGCGACATTGCGTTTAGTCAAATTATAAAAAGCGTGAATTGGTGAAAAAGATGAATATTCTTAGAACATGAGTACGTGATAAAATGTAGTTCCTCAACACGAAGAAGCGACCGGAGTCTATTCCTTCAACGGAAATTCTCCAGCGAGACAAATTTCGTTGCACAGAGTTCCAAGGTACAGCGAATACGACTTTTGTAATCGCCCAATTACGAATAGAACGGCCCACCTTCCTTCTACCGAGAATAAACCCGGATTGTTTGCTCAATCGGGAAAGATTATAGGAAGTTACAAAGAGAAAGAAAGTTGCGAGAAGAAGAACTAGGAATCGCATAATGGAGAGGAAAGGTGAACACACAGGAACAGACGGGCGGTAAAAAGAAAGGAGAGGTCAAATAGTCTCGCTCGAAGAAGAGTTGCGAGGCAAAAGCTGGGTCCCGGTTTAGATTCGCAAGACCCACCGCGAATCGCACAAGCCATAACGCGCATGCAGGGAGTGTGAGCTGCCTTTCTTCTTATACTTGTTTTTCAGGTGCATTTTTTCTTGTCATGCTATGGCTCGCGCGTCTCAAGACCTGCCAACTCAACCGAGTCCGATGATGGTGCCCCGCTGGAATGTAGAAGGGATGGGTGAGGTGGGATCTCGTAGGGCTCTTTGAGGACCCGGGAAGGCTTTATCCCGTGGTGGGGGCCACCAGTCGGACCGGCTTGTCACGATTGGTGAGGGTAGCGATGAACGTGAGCCGTATGGTATGCAGAAAAACTTGACGATTAGTCAAGAGGGACCTGGACATCTCGCTAATGTTTCATGCTTTCGCGAATTTCTCCGCTCCTATCGCTTTTCTTCGTCATAGATCCGTAACGGAAAGGACTATTTTTTTTCAACAGCCACTTCGATGCGCGCTTTAATTGCTTCAGTTTTTATCCCTTGCGCTTCAAATTATAACATAATCAAGAGGGATTGATTTGTCGATTGAAGCTTTGAGCAAATTTTCTTCTTGAGCAAGCAACTCCGATAAACTCAATTTTGATGCTGCGCAGATCATGAAACATGTTAAAAGTTCTAGAATGTTCGTTTTTATTAGAAAATGTTGAAGTAAAATAATACGATTTATTTGCGAATACGTAAATTTTATCAGTTTTGTATACACAAAATTTTACTCACCGGACAATATTGCCAGACCGAAAAGTTCGCAATCTCGCATGCCCTGTTTGGAACAGAGAATTGTGCATGTCTGCGTATAAACCTCCTTCACTCTCGCCTTAGCCTGAAAAAGTAAAATGGATTATTCGGCATATAAGAACATTCAGAAATCATTCCTGGATTACATTTTCCAGCCAGTTTTTTTGGCCGCTAAGTGACATCGAACAATTCACCGTGCACTATTTTGTTTATGAAAATTAGAAAAAAACATAGTAAAAATTTCACGTTTGATAAAAATGATGAAAAAATAATACGGACGCGTGTGCACGTAAATTATTTCGAAATTCCTCATGTTAAAAATCTCCAGGTTCGATACAATTGCTTTCCAAAGTGAAAGAATCTAACTTCTTTACTCGCGCTTCTGTAACAAAATGATTTCATATCTTTCCAGATTCAATAGGTGCATTTGGTAAAATCCCGACGGCTCTCGGCCATTGACGGCGCAATTGATATTTGGCCTCACCTCGACGATGAAGTGGACAGGATCACCGGGAAGGGCGTGAATGGCGAGATAGCGGCTGGCGGACAACAGGGGTTGAAGGCAAGACCGCGCAGCCGTGACACCGCTACCACGCATGCTGCATGCTTCATTTCGTCGCCGCTACGCCCAGCGTCCTCACTGCCAACAATAGTAGTATTGTATGAAAAATTCACGTAGATCTAGCCTTCTTGACGGAAAACTCAGAAACTCAAAATATGTCCTCAATATGCCCCAAAATATGTTTTTAAATAAGCGATTTTATTTCACGAACGATAATAAATCTCAGGCCAATTATTTGTGAAATATAATCGCTTATTATTTAAAAACTATTATAGTCTCGGCGTTTTTGTATTAGAAGTTTCATCTTTAAATTTTCTAAAGAATCTATATGGTAAAAAGGACCGGTGGTTTCAGTACATCCTGTATAGTATTGTGTGCGGAGGAGTTTTCCTCCAAAAGCAGAAAGAAAGAAATGTTACAAACCTCGGTCGGCTCGATAAATACTTGATTAAGAAGTTATAAAAGTAATCATACGTGCAGATAGTAGCAAAAAATGTGACACAGTCGGCAGCGTTTTATCTAATCTGTTTCCCATTATTACTTGAAGTCACTGAAGATGATTAGACGAAATAGCTCGGCCTTGAAATATCAGTTTTATATTAAAACGCGCTGAATTCTCGAGCGAAGAGTGCGCTACCTCTCTCTCGCAGCTTATACCTTTCCGCCGCAGAAGCAATAAAGGAAAATCATATCCGCTCGCCTCTCTTTCGAGAACATTCGTGTATAAGAGCATTGCTCTCCTGAGAGTGTCCGAGTACACTGCTACAACGAATTTTCGTTATAATCTATTATAGATTTCATTGTGTGATTAACTCGAACAAGTATTCCAGAAGCAACTTTCCAAGGGAAATGAAAAGTCAAGATGATGTCAATTTGATTGACCAAATTTATGTCATATTTCGGTCAATATGACATCAAATTGACGTCACCTTGACTTTTCATTTTTCCATGGGACGTGCATTCGAGTATTATATTACATAAAGGTAGGAAGTCACAAAACGACTGTGTGTTCGCATGTGATAGTGATCACACCTGAGATTAGATAACGTCAGAGATTATAAACGCATTATTATACGTAATAAACGGCATTACGTTGATAAGCAATATCTCCAGACGACACTGGTTGAGCTCTCTTAAAAATGGGACGAAGCGCAGATCTATTTCGAGAATAAAATAAATCGGAGCTATTTACACGAACGAAACGGCGTGGCGCGCCACGGGCAATACGTTTTTCCATTGGTGACGCGGTGATAGATTTGCAACAAACGTCATGGCAACGTTAACTACGCCGGATTACGCGGTGATTACCGCATTTCTGCTGATCAGTTTCTTCATCGGTGTATATTATTGGCGCCGTCAGCGACAGAAGTCGACCGAGGTAATTAAATCGTACATTTCTTGTTTTGCGTGTTACAATTTCGTATCTTCATCTAGACACAACATACTATACGGGATGTACTGAAACCACCGGTCCTTTTAATCATGGATCCTTTAGAAAATTTCAAGACGAAAATTCTAATGCAAAAACGTCGAAGCTGTAATAGTTTTTAAATAATAAGCGATTATATTTCACAAATGACAGGCCTGCGATTTATTGTCATCTGTGAAATATGATCGCTTATTTAACAACTATCTCAGCCTCGACATTTTTGTATTAGAATTTTCGTCTTGAAATTTTCTAAAGGATATCCGGTGGTTTTAGTGCACCCTGGTATAACACTTGAATAACTCTTAATTTTGATCTTTCGACTGATTTATCGATTAATATTTTCAGAGTATAAAAATAACTGAAAACGACCAACTAAAATTTTTCTTGTGAACGTGTAACATTTCTGTAGGCGTACTTCATGGCGGACAAGTCAATGGGAGTGATCCCGGTAGCGATAGGCTTGATGGTTTCATATTTATCAGCGGTCAGTCTACTTGGAGTGAGCTCCGAAAATTACATGTACGGTACGCAATACGCTGTGATCAACATCTCTTATGGCCTCGCCACGCCGTTCGCAGCCTATTTTTATTTACCGGTATTTTTTAAGATAGGCACTGCGAGTGCTTTCGAGGTAAAATGCGTTAACACCATTATGCAAAATTTAAAATTAGGTTTGCCGAAGATAATCTTGGTCAATTACAAACGTTTAATCATTTTCAAAGAAATTTTGTCTACATTAGTTGTCATCAATCTAATAAAATGCTTAATGTCTTTAATTGTTATCCGCTTAAAAGCAGTCGAAACTATTAAGTGCAATCCTAAACTGCATGAAAAAAAGTGTCTTGCGACAAGAAAATGATGTGCTAAAGTAAAGGAAAATTATTTTATATTGTTTCACTCTTTTTTTTAATTTACAAAACTGTAATCGATAATTCCGAAGATAAGATAGCGTTAAGTATCGCTTCAAAATTTAATTGATCAAAATTAATTTGACTTATGGCAACTGTATGGGCATTTATTGCAGTATCTACAGAAGCGTTTCGGCACGGCCACCCGATTAATAGCCAGTTTTGCCTTTTTGCTCCAATTGCTTCTGTACACCGGCGTGGTGTTGTATGCACCTGCGCTGGCCTTAGAAGCCACCACGGGTATTTCGAAGACCGCAAGTGTGATTGGTTTGGGACTCATCTGCACTTTCTACTCGACGATCGGCGGTATCAAGGCGGTACTTATCACCGACGTTTTCCAGGGTCTATTAATGCTGGCTGCCGTTGTCACAATTATCGCCACCGCGGCTGTTGACAACGGTGGTCTAGACCGAATATGGCAGATCGCCGGAAATGGATCCCGGTTGGAATTCGACAAGTAATAGTTTGACAAAAACGTCCTCGTGTCTGTCCCCAAACCGCTTGTGTTATATTTCTATATGTATAGATTTTCGTTACTAGACATTTATACTTATGGGAACGTAAATTATATTTTAAATCATTTCACTTACAGTGAGTGAAATTTTAATTCCTCAATTTCATTTGTTTCTTTATCACGATGAATTATTTTCATATGATCATGTGAAAGATATTAAAAAATATCGCATCAACTATCATAGAATCTTTTTTTATTTTTTATTGTGTGTTTATAGAATTATGATGGTAGACGGACAGAAGGAGAAAAAGTTTAACAAAAGTGCACTGCAACCTTGTAATTTTCTTAACATTGTAAATTAATTAATTTACAAATCGGTAAGATTATCGATAGATAATTGAAAGTAACATCTTGATCGATCAAGTGAAATGAATTAAAATAAAGTTGTCAACGAGCGCAGGAAGTATTTATTTATTTTAACTTTTTACGTATGCCCGCAGCATCTCCGTGGATCCAACTGTACGACATACTTGGTGGAGTTTGACACTTGGTGGTTTCTTTACTTACCTTTCCTTGTACAGCGTTAATCAAGTTCAGGTTCAAAGAATGCTGACCGTCAGGTAAAGCGAGATTGACTTTAATTTCCAATTAAACGTGAATTAATAAAGTCTAAAAATACTAGTTGCATCGTCCTTTTGTGTTATCTTCCTCTCGTGATATTTTTCGAAATTGAACTCATTCAGAGTTCGATGTTTAAACATGCAAAACGTCTTGTTATATATTTTGTGGGCAGTGTATTTTTTTAAAACTATTACTAGAATTTGAGAAAACAATTATTGCTCCGATATTATTCTTCTTACAACTTCGGGCGCCGTGATGCATTGTCCCGCAAATAAGCTTTATAAAATTTCGTCGGTGCGTAGAATTTGAGGGCCGATGCTGTAAAGTCCAAGTTTTCAAATTGTCGTCAAGTTTCCTGTATTAATACGGCTTTACTTTACGCTATGTCAATTGTATTAGCAATCTAGCAGCCGCACAGCGCGCACTATGGTGGAGCTGGCCGATGGCATCGATCATGTCGCTTACTCTGTGTTTTTCTGGACTAGCGATATATGCGAAATATCATGACTGTGATCCACTCACAGAAGGCAGGATCGCCTCAAACGATCAACTGATGCCGTTGTACGTGATGGATACGCTGTCGGATTATCCCGGTGTGCCTGGGCTTTTCATAGCCGGGATTTTTAGCGCCGGACTCAGTACCATCTCGGCAACAGTTAATTCCCTCTCCGCTGTTATTCTTGAAGATTACATCAAGCTTCTCTGCCGCGTAAGGTAAGAGTCGTGATAACGTGACAAAAATTTGGACATCGTAAACAGAGTTGTGCCAGGAAACAATTTAGTTTCCTATTTCATTCGGTAAAATAAAGTAGGTAAGCGAGAAAGATTTCGAGCGTGGGCCTGGATAGCTCAGTTGGAAGAGCGTTCGCCCGGCAAGCGGAAGGTCCCAGGGGTTCTATTCCGTACACGGTTACCGACAACTGTCGATATCGTTAACGACGTTTGCGCAGTTTTTCTAACATGTAAAAAAAGACTGCGCAAACGTCGTTAACGATATCGACAGTTGTCGGTAACCGTGTACGGAATAGAACACCAGGTTCGAATCCTGGTCTAGTCCTAATTCTTGTATTATTGTAATACGTTCCTACTTGGAGTCTATGACGTTTAGGCGATGCAGCTTGTTTTAAAGGGATTCAGGTAGAACAACCTGAACGTCTCTTGAACATCGTAGATATTGTGTTTCCTTCTTCCTTCCCGTTTCCTCTTTCCCCTTTTCTTTCTCTTCTTTGCCCTTTTGCACACCCTCTCTGCTCCCTTTTTTTAAGAATTATTAATCAAGAAATAATAACATCTTCGATATTGATTTCAGAAACAAGGAATTATCTGCTGCGGCGTCAGTAATCATTAGCAAAATTTTAGCTCTTGTAGTTGGACTGGCGTGTGTGGCAGTCGCTTTTCTGACACAATATCTTGGCGGATTGTTGCAGGTGTGTAAAATTTGCTTTCAATATTAACGAATAAAATAAACACATGCCATGCAAGAAATATAGATAATCCCACTCTCTAGAAGTCAATCAGTAGATTATAGTCACTAATTTCCAGTTATAAGTACATTACTGTAAATCATTGACTATTCACAGTTTTCAGTGAAACTCCACTGGTTGACTTTCAGAGAGCAGAAACATTAATTTTAATCGTGCAAAAGTCGATTCTACATACGTTAAAGAATTTGCCATGTACTTTTCGACAGTCTTTGTAGGTTTCAGTTAAATACCTTTTACAACATTAGATTCTCATCGTAGAACAACTCTCTCCCTCTGTAAAATTTCTTTTTCCGCAGGCCGCCCTGACGATTTTTGGTGTCGTGGGTGGACCTATGCTGGGCTTATACACCCTCGGCATGTTTCTCCCGTCGTGCAACCAACGGGGCGCGATCACGGGCTTCGTTCTTAGTCTCATGTTCTCTTTGTGGATAGGATTCGGACAGCCGAAACCGCCGATTCCGCGGTTAGACGTCTCAACAGACGGATGTAGATCCAACAATACTTTTATGTACAGAAACGATGAGGAGCCGCTAATTTACACAAACTTACACTATGAACAGTGAGTAAAAAGAGTGGATGTAGCTTTGCTAATTGTATATCTCGACAACTGTTTGTCGGAGGGAAAAGTGATACAGGACTTTTTTTTACTTGATTTAGTCTCAGGAATATGCTGTTGCAAAGAGATTTAACGAACTGTACTGTAACAAAGAGATTTAACGAACACTTCTCGATTGCAGGGTGGAGGAGGATAAATCCTATTTCTATCTTTATCGCATATCCTACATGTGGTACTGTCCACTGGGGTTCCTCCTTGCCGTAATCACAGGCTCCCTCGTCAGCTGGACCACGGGATGGATTTTTCGGGAAAGCCCGGCCGAAATCGATTCTGCCCTGCTAAGTCCGATCGTGGGAAATCGTATTGAAAAGAGAAGAGAAGCGGACAAATATCGCAGTACAATCAAATTCAATTAAGGCTGAGAACCCACAGCCTCTTTCTTGTAGGTGATGCAGGAAAATGGCATTTAAACGTTCGCATTTCTATTTATAAAATCGTTGAATATTTATATCTCGCGTATAAGTAAATTTAAAAGTATAAATATTTATGTCACGAAATGTAAATAATTAATACATGTTATGTAAATACGTCCGTGTAGTCTACAGCACGTATCCACAAATTTTGAACAAACTTTCTTCTCGCGCGGTCTCCGACTATAATAATGTCACAATGAATGGAAATGTAAAAAATTCTGACCGGAGAATATAAGCGTTTAAACTTGTCATACGTTTAATTTAATCTCCGATGATCATATGTAAAGAATATTTTTTATTTCGTACTCCCGGCTTCATTTTCTCATGTAAAATTACAATCTCTCGTTTGACCAACTTTGGGAAACGGTCCGCGTGTTATTTCAAACTTTCGCGCCTTTTCGCAAACTTCCCAAACTAGATAACAATTATCAATTGATCGTACATTATGCCAACATCTTCCCGTGAATCGGGAGGAAGCATTTTTATCAGGAATGATCGGATTGGGCCATTTCACGCTGTGTGAAAATACCAGCTGGGAGCCTCGCGACGTACAGACATAAACACTACGGACTACAAACTGCGCGCTGTACGCTTTACCGAAACGTTCGCAAATCACGATGGAATGCCGCCAGACTGGTGTGTACGCGCGCGCGCCATACGGTGACACACAGAGAGCAAACGCAAGCAATGACCTGCGTCATGCAGTTCTTACGTAAGGAAATACCACCAAAGTAACGTGTCCGCCAAAATAGCGAATTTAGAACATCCATGCCAGGCAGGGAGGAAATTGTCAAAATTTCCCAGATTTATTACGGAGACGTTGCCCGTCAAGCGAATCTCAAATTCTTAGCGATTAATTATACACAATAACGATATCGTTAGATCATAGTATCGGGACACCGTGGGAAGAGCTTTTGAGGTAAATGTATTAGACGTAAAGTCAAAATTTTATTACTTATCAACGTCAGTATTTTCTCGACTATACCTGGCAGTTTAATAATACAGAAAGTTTATTGTATTGTTAAAATGCCAGTGTAGCCAATGTAGCCAAGAAAATACTGACGTTTGTTAATTATCGCTAGCGACACTGAAGAATTCTTATTAGTTTGTTACTTGTGTTAATAAGAATACAAATGTAAATATCAAACGTTATCCCCTGCGTGTGTCGCATGTGTCACATTCTACGATGGATTGTCGTCTCGTTCTCAATAATTGAGCCACGTTAGCAAATCACCTGCAGTTGTTTCGCGTTTATTATCATAGGTGCGTCATCAAATCGCGACAGTTCGCACACGTCTAAACTTACACCTAGAATTTTTAAGAATTCAGAAACGTGCGTTATTTGTACAGAGGAAAGTCCCCTGTTATATGAGACAGGCTCCTTATAGACAACGGGGTTACTACTAAATTATTAGGCATCGTCTGTTGGTTCCACCAGGAATTTATTGCCCTAGGAGTGAGATCTATTTAGTGGAAAATTCATTGTTAGATTGTGTAATCGCCGCGAAAGAAGATTGTGATTGAATTTGGATGTTAAAAACCTGCTATCTCATAATAGAGGACTTTCCTTTATCTTTGTATTATTTTCCCATTAGTTTTAATCATTCTTGCATATATTTTTCTCTCCCCCCCCCCTCTCTCTCTCTCTCTCTCTCTCT